GGAACAAGATCTGAAGGAGGAAAAGGGAGAAGATCTCAGGGGGGAAAAGGCCTTAGGGGGGAAAGGGGGGAAGGGATCTCAACAGGGAAAGGGTGGAAAACATCTTAGGGAGGAAAAAGGGAGATGATCTCAGGGGGGGGAAAGGCCTTAGGGGGGAAAGGGGGAAAGGATCAAAAAGCGAGAAGATCTCAGGGGGGGAAAAGACCTTAACATCTCAGGGAGGGAAAGGCCTTAGGGGGGAAAGGGGGAAAGGATCTCAACAGGGAAAGGGGGCAAAGGATCTTAGGGAGAAAAAGGGAGAAGATCTGAAAAGGCCTTAGGGGGGAAAGGGGGAGAAAGGATCTCAACAGGGACAGGGAGAAAAGATCCTAGGGAGGAAAGGGGAGAAGATCTCGGGGGCCCAACCGGGAAAAGATCTTGGGGAGGAAAAGGGAGAAGATCTCAGGGGGGGAAAGGCCTTAGGGGGGACAGGGGGGAAAGGATCTCAACAGGGAAAGGGGGGAAAACATCTTAGGGAGGAAAAGGGAGAAGATCTTGGCCTTAGGGGGGAAAGGACCTTAGGGAGGAATAGGAACATCGCGGGGGAAAAAAAGGCCTTGGGGGGGAAAGGGGGGAAAGGATGTCAACAGGGAAAGGTGGCAAAAGATCTTAGGGAGGAAAAGGGAGAAGATCTCAGGGGGGGAAAGGCCTTAGGGGGGAAAGGGGGGAAAGGATCTCAGCAGGGAAAGGGGGGGAAAGATCTTAGGGAGGAAAGGGAGAAGATCTGGGGGCAACGGCCTTAGGGAGAAAAGGGGAGAAATGATCCCTACACAAAAAGGGGTGGAAGAGATCTTAGGGAGGAAAGGGAGAAGGCCTGGGGGAAAAAAGGCCAGCAGGAAAGGTGGGGAAAGATCTTAAGAAGGAAAAGGGAGAAGCTCTCAGGGGGGGAAAGGCCTTAGGGGGGAAAGATCTTAAGAGGGAAAGGGGGGAAACAATCTTAGGAAGGAAAAGGGAGAAGATCTGGAAAGGCCTTCGGGGTTGGGGGGGAAAGGATCTCAACAGGGAAAGGGTGCAAAGGATCTTAGGGAGGAATAGGGAGAAGATCTCAGCGAGGGGAAAGGCCTTGATCTCAGGGAGGAAAAGGAAAAGATCCCGGGGGGGGGAAGAAGGGAAAGGGAGGAAAAGGGAGATGATCTCAGGGGCGAAAAAGGCCTTAGGCGGGAAAGATCTCAACAGGGAGAGGGATCTTAGGGAGGAAAAGGAAACTCAGAGGGAGAAAGGGCCTTAGGGGGGAAAGGGGGAATGGACCTCAACAGGGAAAGGGGGCAAAGGATCTTAGGGAGGAATAGGGAGAAGATCTCAGCGGGGGGAAAGGCCTTAGGGGGGAAAGGGGGGAAAGGATCTCAACAGGGAAGGGGGGAAAGATCTCAGGGAGGAAAGGGAAAAGATCTCAAGGGGGGAAAAGGCCTTAGGGGGGAAAGTGGGGGAAAGGGAGGAAAAGGGAGATGATCTCAGGGGGGACAAAGGACTTAGGGGGGAAAGGATCTGAACAGGGAAAGGGGGGGAAAGATGTTAGGGAGGAAAGGGAGAAGATCTGGGGGCAAAGGCCTTAGGGTGGAAAGGGGAGAAATGATCTCAACAGGGAAAAGGGTGGAAAAGATCTTCGGGAGGAAAGGGAGAAGATCTGGGGGAAAAAAAGCCAACAGGGAAAGGGGGGAAAGATCTTAGGAAAGAACAGGGAGAAGGTCTCAGCAAGGGAAAGGCCTTAGGGGGAAAGGGTGGGCTTAGGAAGGAAAAGGGAGAAGATCTGGAAAGGCCTTCGGGGTAGGGGGGAAAGGATCTCAACAGGGAAAGGGGGCAAAGGATCTTAGGGAGGAATAGAGAGAAGATCTCAGCGGGGGGAAAGGCCTTAGGGGGGAAAGGGGGGAAAGGATCTCAACAGGGAAGGGGGGAAAGATCTCAGGGAGGAAAGGGAAAAGATCTCAGGGGGGGAAAAGGCCTTAGGGGGGAAAGTGGGGGAAAGGGAGGAAAAGGGAGATGATCTCAGGGGGGACAAAGGCCTTAGTCTCAACAGGGAGAGGGCGGAAAACATCTTAGGGAGGAAAAGGGAAAAATCTCAGAAGGAGAAAGGGCCTTAGGGGGGACAGGGGGAATGGATCTCAACAGGGAAAGGGGGGCAAAAATCTTTGAGGGGAAGGGGGGCAAGCGGACAATTCCAAAGAAACGCAAATAAGATAGCAGGCCTGTAATGTCGGCGGCCTGAGCCGGAGGCGTTGAAATAAAAACGCAAACACAAATACAAACACAAACCTAAACACAAGCACATATACAAATACAAACTGAAGTACAATCACACACACAAGCACAAATACACATACAAACACAGACGCATTACAAACACAAGTACAAATTCAAAAAACAAACACAAACAAAAGACACACACAAACATAATACAAGTACAAGTACAACCACAAGTACAAATACAAAAACAAGTACAAACACAATACAAATACAAACACGAACACAAAAACAAGCACAAACACAAGTACAAATACAATCAGAAGCACAAATACAAACACAAACACCAGGACATATATACAATTACAAACTCAAACGCAAAAACACATATACAAATACAAACACAAGTACAAGTACAAACACAAACACACATTCAGACACAGACACATATACTATTACAAACACAAACACAAACACAAACAAAAACACAAATACAAACACAAATACAGACACAAACACAAATACAAACACAAATGCAAGAACAAATACAAACAAAAACGCAAGCACGAACAAAAAACAAATACAAACACAATACAAATACAAACACAAACACAACTACATACACAAATACAAACACACAAGTACAACTACAAACACAAAAACAAATAAATTACAAACACAAACACATATACAAATACAAATGCAAATACAACCACGAGGACAAATACAAACGCAAGACCAAACACAACACGAATACAAACACAACACACAAATACAAATACAAACACAAGTACAAACACAAACACGAGCACAAACACAATTACAAACACAAACACAAATACAAACACAAACGCAAACACAAATACAACTACAAACACAAGAGCAAACACAAACACGAACACAAACACAATTACAAACACAAATGCAAACACAAATACAAACACAAACACAAACACAAACACACATACAAATACAAACACAAGTACAAATACAAACACAAACACAAACACTCAAACACATATACCAATACAAACACAAGTCCAAATACAAGCACAAATACATTGCAAATGCAAACGCAAACACTCAAACACATTTACAAATACAAACACAGGTACACATACAAACACAACCACAAATACCAACAAACACATACACATATACAAATACAAACACAAGTACAAATAAACACAAACACAAATACAGTTACAGATGCAAACACAAACGCTCAAACACAAGTACAAATACAAACACATGGTTCTTGCTCAGCAAGTAGACAAAAAGATTGGAAATTACGAGTCATGGAAAGCAAAACTCAGCACGTTACGCCTTCCATTAAAGTGGGGAATGCAAGAATCAACCGCTATTTATATTGTTTTAAACAAAAACACAATTTTACACCTCTCAGAACGCGTCTGTTTTGAGACCCTTTGTTGGGAGGTTGTTTTTAACAAGCATCTTCTTCCACAGGCCGCCACTCTCAGCTGATGCGCTCTCAGCTCATGCGCTCTCAGCTCATATTTGTTCAAGCGCTTTTCCTGAGCTTGTCCAGCGTCTTGGCAGTCGCCACGCAGAGGTCTTTTCCTTTCTGCAAGCGACGCCATTGGCATGCCCGCATGTACAGCCAAATCTTGGGACTGCGAGAACTGATGGAATTGGGGATGGAAGCATTTACTTTTTGCCAAGTGGAGTCGATCGTTCCCGTGTGCGCAGAGAGCCGAGTACCATTGCGAGTGGCCTTCTTTTCAAACTCCCCTGTGGCGTGTGACACTCTACGATGTGTGACTCCGAGCTCGCGTGACCATGGAGGATAGCACCGCGCGCCATCCGTCAGCAGCCAAGTCTTCACTCCAGCAGAATCATGAGTCTCCACGTGGTTGAACGCGTCTGTCTTGCGAATCTTTCTCAAGCTCTCGGGAGGTGGCTTCCCAAAGTTCTGCACTTCGGCCTCACCTAGAGACCACAGGCAGAGCTTCCTCGTGTTTCTCTCTAGCATTCCGACAATCTGCAAGTAGATCAACGAACTGGTCCCCTTGGTTCCCTTTTTCCTCCAGTGCCTGAGCGATGTGCCGTCGCATTCTAGAAGCCCTCGGCACATCAAAGTTCAGGGTCGGAAAATGAGTAACAATTCAAGCGGATAAAACCATTCCCCCCACCCCCCCACCACCCCCCCCCCCAACCGAGCATTTTCCCAACGCCTACACGGGCGGTTGTTGGTCCGCTGGCAAATACAAACACAAACACAAATAAATTGCAAATACAAACACAAGCACAAGTCCAAATGCAAACACAAACACAAATACAAACAGAAACACAAACACAATTACATATACAAATACAAACACAAGTACAAATACAAACACAAACACAAATAAATTGCAAATACAAACACAAGCACAAGTCCAAATACAAACACAAACACAAATACAAACAGAAACACAAACACAATTACATATACAAATACAAACACAAGTACAAATACAAACACAAACACAAATACATTGCAAATACAAACACAAGCACAAGTCCAAATACAAACACAAACACAAATACAAACAGAAACACAAACACAATTACATATACAAATACAAACACAAGTACAAATACAAACACAAACACAAATACATTGCAAATACAAACACAAGCACAAGTCCAAATACAAACACAAACACAAATACAAACAGAAACACAAACACAATTACATATACAAATACAAACACAAGTACAAATACAAACACAAACACAAATACGCTGCCGAAAGGAGCTACCATCACTGAGCCTCAGGCCCGGAAGTGATGACCTTCAAGCCTCCCGCCAGGACAGCCAGGATGCCAACACCCACCAGAGGGTGCACCTTGAAGTACCTGAAAATTGCGTCGAGCGATGCAGCCAACGTGGAATCGGCACTGATGCTGCCAGGACACGCGAAGGCCGTCTCGGCGTACGGCGTCACCAGCCTGCCGACGAAGAGGGCAATTCCCATGATGGTGGCGCCGATGCCTGCCATGGCCGAACTGTCAAGTGATTGCACTGCCTCTTGCTCTCCCCGTCTAGCTCCATCAGCCTGTGGAGCGGGCATAGTTGACGGGCTTGAAGTACTCACCGAAAGAAAGCCTAATTCGGCTTCAGGGCATGTCCATCAAGGAGAGGCAACATGATGTTACATGTCAATGTAAGGCATCGCGGCATCAGCCATCATGATTGACAAACATGTTTGCCATCATCTCGAGAACAACTGTAACAGTGCAACTTGGCGGCTTCTTGTCCTTGGGCTGCAAAGTGAATCCTCTCCATTCGTTGCACGGCGAGGAGAGGATGCCTTACCAAGCAAAAAGCAGGACAGGAGGGGCAGTGTCAAGCCCGTAACCTAGAGCCTGGACAAACCAGCCGCATTGCGTCCCAGTTGCATGCGGCCCAAATAGTGAAGGCGAAAACGGCAGACTGCGCAGTGCAGCGTGCCACATCACAAGCTACAACCACCCATTGCTACTGGCAAGACCGTCAAAGCATTCAAGCGCTCGCACTGTGCAGAATTGCCACGATTGAGCCCTTGCCTCAAGCCATTGCATTTGGGGGGAGTCAACACACGCACGACGCCTGGCCTGCCCCACAAAGGATGTCGGTGCGCAGAAACCTGCTACCACGACAGCCACCCAGCCACGCGCAAAGCCATAGATGATGTCGCGGGCCACTGTTGGCACCTAGCAAGAAGCGGGTGGGGTCGTGGCAGCATGCAAGCTTCAAACCGGAGCAGCATCTTCCGGACAGTGCATCATCGTGATATGCATCATGGGATAGAGTGCAAACGACTCTTTGTGAGATTTCAGCTTTTGAAAGGATACTAGCATTCCCAGGATTCAAGTCACGCAACTCTCTGACCAGACTGGGTGCCGTGCATAGGCCTGATACAAGAGCGCCGGCTTGATCTCCCAGCCCATGCTCTTGCGGAAGCGGTAGTTGGTCACCTTTGTTGGCAAACGTACCGCATCACAACACCTGGCCTGAAGCAAGCTGCAGGCACACACACAGAGCATTGCCGGACCAGGAAGAGACTAGCCTGATCGAAATCCTGGGGCCCAATCGCAAACCGCAATCCGCTTAATCCTTGTTTTGATGCGTAATTACCTTGATCCGTGGACAATCCAAGCGACCCAATAATCCGCAATCCGCAAGCCGCATAATCTAATCCGTAAACTGCACAATCTGCAATCCGCTAAGAACCAGCTAGAGACGGCACTGCGCTGAACATTACGGCTTTTGCCAGAACATGACACGTGTATAGTGCCACATAGGTGTTTCCAAAACTGCCTCGCCCCCCCCCCCCCCCCTTATCTGGAGCTGTCATTGTGTTTGCTGCCCGATTTCACAAACAAGGGTCCCGCAACCCAGGGAAATGGTCTGCATCGCATGGGTTGCAGGCTGAGTGCCACACCGGCAGCATGACGGTGCAGAAAAGGAATCCACTGATCGTTCCACCTCAATCCAAACCGAGCAAGAAGGTCGAAAGAATGCCGTTCACACAACACGGGATCACATGAACAAAGACACGGAAAGAAGCCAGGACCAGCAGCGATCCACGATTGCACTGCATGATGATACAAACCTCTCCTATTCCCGAGGCACTCAATCCAGGGCTGAAGGCTGTGAAAGTCATCGCCATGTTGATGATCTCGAACACTGGGAACTTCAGCCTACGGGCGCAGCATATGCCCATAAGGCTGCGAAGGTGTTGCCCAAGGCCATCGGTAACGTAGCGCCCTGATGGAACAACAGCAAGCGCCGCCAAGGTGCATGTTGGTGGGAAAGGTCGTCAAGAAGAAGTTGGCAATAAGCTTGAAGTTCATCTCCTTCATGGCCTGCAAGGCAGAAATCGATTCCAGCAAACTCTGTTGGGTTCCCCAGCAAATGCGCCACAGCTGCGCGTTGGCGGTGAGATTCGCAGGCCCGCGCAACACGTTTCCCACCCACTTGCAACCTCCCAAGAATAAGCCCCAAGCGGAGCGCCGTCGCCTTGGGAGAATTGTCCCTTCCATCTGCTGCCCTCGTGCAAGTGCACATCCAGGGTCTGCAGGTTCTGAATACATGCATTGCCTATGGTGGACCTATGTTGGACCCATGTTGGACCTGTTTTGGACCTGTTTTGGACCTGTCCTTGTACTGTATCTGTACTGTCTTAGTCTGACGACAAAACTGACCTGCCTGGCCCACCGTCATTCGCTTCACCAGCAAGCGGTTCACCTCAGCCCGTGTTGTGCGAAGTCGACATGCATCGAAATTCCGCCGCTGTTTTGCAGGGAAAATATGGGCAGAAGTGGACAAACATGCGCGGGAGAATGCTACGCACTTCAGCACAAATTGACAAGCAACTGGTCAATGCAAATGCAGTCGCCCAATTTCAACAGAACACAAAATGTTTCGCAGGTTGCATGGCACCTTGCGCAATGGAACACACACAGGCACACACAGGCAGCGTACCTCTCACATGCAACACGAGCTACAAGCACACAAACCTCAGGGGGCTCCCCGGTAAACCCGGGGACACCCCCACCATTAATCAACTGAATCTGGGGTCAGCATCAAAACAACAGCAGCTCCGCCACGCCGCCAGTGGCTCGGCCATGGCAGAGAGGATCGCCGCCACGAAAGCCGCCTGGGGTCGATCCCAGGTCACGTCTCGCGCGCGGACTCGACACGCAAAAGGCAAGATGCTAGAGTCACCCGGTGCTGCACATCCAGCCCACACAAGTCACAAATGATTAAAAGAAAAACATCAGCAACGAGTCGCGTCATCCCGATAGACTTGCAAAAAAACACAGGAGTGCTCACGACAGGTCACTCATGTCAGGCTGAAAGCAGCTGCAAAAGAGATTTGAAACCCGGCACATGGCGCAGACAGGCACATTCAGCGTTCTCAGAAACAGCATGGACGAGTGCCAGCCACCAAGCCCTGCTCCATGATGGGAACTCAACAAATTCTCCGAATCTACCAAAAAAAAGATATAGAGTCAAATCGCAATCCCTTTGAGCACCAAGGCACGTCTGGGGTACCCGTTTTGGATCGTGAGGGAAACCACAAGAAGCCAAGCATGAAAAAGGGGCAACCGATTTTGGGACACAAACTCCTCTCCCTCAAAACCTTCGTTTAGCAAAACAGTTTACAGATGAGAGTCCATAGGTCCCCTGCTTTGAGACCCCGGAAGCCGAGATAAAGTGCTGCAAGCTGACTATGACAAAGGAATGTCCCAGTAGACAACTTGGGAGTCCATGCTGTAAGCTCGGGGAAAGCGCCGCATTGCGGCAGGACACTTGCGATCCACGGTCACTTGTGCTCGTATCTCTTTGAGGGTACCCTTGCTGGAATGGCGAAAAAAACAAGTCCAGAGAGCAAGCCAAGTCCATTTTTGGGGGCTCCACATTGGGAGACAAGCCAAGTGTTTGACCAACCAATCTCCACTTGTCATGCGCCTCAGCCCCTCCGCAAAGTTCTCAAGGCACGCACTCCACCTGACATGGAACGCTACAGAGCTACTGGCAACCTGCGAGGGAGGCTGACACCTGCCACCCAAATCCCTCGATTCAGCTGAAGACACCGTGGCGCCCTGAGCACCAGCCGCGAAGACCTCGAACGAGAGATGCGGCAGAAAACCGCCCGCTTGACAAAGAATCAGCATGGGACACCAGAAGGAGGATAATTTGGACCGGCAGAGCTGACCTGTTGATTTTGCTGATTGGCCTGCATCCACTCATGGCTATGAGTTTCAATGGCGGGAACACCCTCAAAAGCGGTTGGCGGAACAATCCGCAGATTAGGGCGGATCCCCATTAAAAACTCGTACCCTCATGTTGCCCGAGCCTTGGTGAAGAAGGTGGCGCTTGCCGCCGCAGCCGAGGTGGTCACTGGGGAGTTGTCACGGGGCAGCTGTCCCAGCGCCAAGGTCCTGCACTCAGTGAGCGAAGTAGCGACTCGTCTTCAGGTCTTTAGGCTTTCCTCGAGGTCCACACGCCAACAGCTTACATCTCCTTGAGCCGCGAACCCGTGACGAAACTGGGTTCTTTCAGCGTGGCTGAGCCACCAACGTTTACGGCAAGCGGCCCATGATTGTGTTGTATTGGTCATTGCGCAGGAAAGCGACATCTAGATTGGCTTCCAACTGATCTCCGCTTGGTTGCCTTCTTCCTTCTTGAAGCCAGCACACCTAAAAAGCGCCAGCAAAAACGGAATCTCTCCTACAAGAGGCCTCCTAGAGACAACTGGAAGGTTAAACCCTTTGCTTCCCTGCATGGACAGTTTGGAGCTGGACTCTTGTTTGGTCGCTTCATATGAACCTTGTGTGGTTCACTGCGAAAGAACAAAGAAAAACGACATGAGACCTATGCGTTTAGGAAGAAAACCTTTTGTAAGTTCTACCACACATTTCAATGGATATGGCTTGCAAGATTCAACCCTCATCCAGGATCGACCGAGCTCAACTAAAAGCCAAGGCTTTCCAAAACCGATCCACGACATATCGGCAGAGGTGGGTGTGCTGTTTTTGGGAATCCTCTTTTTCTTTGGTCGTTTCTTTGTTTGTGTACTTATTGATTGATATGTGTATATATATATATATGTATGTATATATATACGCATAGATATATGTATGTATATATATTTATATACTCTCTCTTTTTTTTTGGGGGGGGGGGGGTTGGGGTTGGGGGGGGGTCCAACTGACATCTGACATCTGAGCCCTCCTGGCGCTGGACTTGGTGAGCGCCGTGGGCTCCGCGGAGGTCCAGTGTGCCGCCGGACTCGCGAAGGTCAGCTCCCCCACGTTCCACCTCACCGAAGCCTTTCAAGGCTGTGATTTTGACCGTGTTTGGCTCTCTCTTCTTTTCACCTCTGATGGAAAAAGTTGCGAGTTTGTAACTTTTGCGGGCCGGAGCCCATGCTCGAGAAACTGCCCCCCCCCCACGGAGAAAAAGAAAAAGAAGAAGCGCGGTTGTGGGACTTTGCCGCACGTTCTCTGCGAAGAAGGAAGCTTGACATGGCTGCGAGGTTTAGAGGGAACCTGTCCACCAAAGGACCCCTAATAAAAATGAATCCGCGCACATGCGGTGTCAAAAGAAATATCGGAAGAAAAATAAAAGGAAGACAAAAAAAGGAAAAAACATCTCGGGGGAAAAAACAACGGCGTCAAAGTGTATCCGGCACCGAGGAATCGCCAGAGTGGCCGTGTCATGTTGTATTTGGCCAGGCCCCCCAACCCTCCAGTACGGTTTGGGGAAACCCTGTTCTGTGATGCCAAAGTGATTGATCTCCATCCCCAGAATACTGCTTGAACGGATTGGCCACATCATTTTTCACAGCCAGGTTTTGCCGTTGGACTGCTAGACACAAGTCAACATGAAGGTAACTGGTGCTGGGTGTGCGCCTGAGTCTCTCGATCGATGAACCTTGTATTTGCTGTCAAGCAATGGCCAAGAATTTCAGGATCTTCACTTCCCTTACGATGATGCAAAGTGGTCCCTGTGCATGGTGATGTTGTTGCATGAGGGTAGCTATTCACAACACTTCATGGTTCTTCCAGCCCTTCACTTCGGCAGAAGGGCCAACGTACATGCATGCCTTGCCACAACACGCTTGTGATGCCACCAGATCTACCACAATCCACATGGCATGAAGTTGAACAGGGACCTCCTCAAAAAAGGTTCTGAAAAGACACCCAACACATGAAAAATGATACTCACATCCCACACGAAAAGAACTGACCCAAGAATTCCATCAAGTTGCCGTGTCCCAATCTTGGGCTTCTGCCTTTGAAATTCTGTGTGTGTAGCATAAGCCTTTGGAGCAGCCAGAGCTCCTAAATTTGACACACACCACACGTGCATACACGTATATAGATGTATATAATATGTACACACTAGGGTGAGATAACGTTCTGAAAGAAGAGCTGGGAACGATAATTGACACGTACGGCAAAGCAGTTGTTGTATCGTATACATTATATATATATATACATGTTATCCGCGGAATTAAGTGCGAACATATGGCTAGACTCCGCGCAATGTGGTTAATTGCTCTCTGTGGCGTGCTGAAAACGAATTCGACTTCGTGATGTGAGAGTCAAGTAACACCAAGACGGAACGAACCCTCTCTGCCAGGAGCGAGACCCATATGAGCTCGTCTGCAGTCTTAATAGTTGGTCGTTACCAAAGTAGATGTCACGGTGTCCAAACACCAGTTCTCAAAGTCATCTGACGGCATCCAAGTTGTGTTAACGCAAACTGCAAAGTCGCACTTTTCGAGACCGGCATGGCTGATTCTGCCTTTGCAGGTCTTTATTGATTGAAGTGGCCACCCGTGATTTGGTCCAGGACACGCGGAGACTACTTTCCGCCCAGTGAGTGACGAGCATCTTGCGTGCTTTGGATGCTTACCAGAAGCTATGGAAAGGAAGAATCAAGTCCTCAAACAGTGCTCTGTGTGCCGTCTAGGCTCCTTGGGTTTATGGTCATTGATCCCTTGATGCTGGTTTTATGAGAGAACGCAATGCAAAGAAAACCCACCACGTCCGATCAAATGGTTCCTTCAAATTGTCGAAACACCCTTTGAAGGCTTCCTGACGGGCCCTGTGCAACATAGGCAACAAAGGTGCCCATGGCAAAGATGGGGGCTTGTCTCAAACCCTCAATTTGAGTGGTTTCCCCTTGGCGTCCCTTCAAAACAACCTTGGAAGACAAGCCAAGGCTCAGCAGGCATGCCAAGATCAGCAAGCATGGCACCGCGGATCGGCTGCGGCTTTTCGCCTCAGGCGAAAGCCAACATGTTTAGCAGGGTTCATTCTGCCAGCTGTTTGGTGGAGAAGGGCATTTCAAGAGGAGTTAGACGCTGGGCCACCTTCCCAAGGTCAAATTGGACGAGCAGGCGCAAAAGACCTCGCGAACCCTTCATGTGGGTTCGTCCCCAAAGTAGAGCGGCGTTCAAAAAGAAGTTGCGTTTTGCCCTTTGGTTTCTCCCGTGCCCCCACCAAAAAAACAATTGATCTGTGTTCAAAAGCACTCGGCTGCTACCCAAGGATGGTTTTCACCAACTTGAAGTAAGGGATGCCCCTAGTAAGAAACCTTCATGAGTGTGCTCGCTTACGGGTGAACTTGGTGTATATTGTGCAGACACATGCACCGCGTCATGCTTGGTGTATATGGTGAATTGGCATCAAGCCATGAACAAGCTGAGGCACCCAAAACCAGAGTATCCTGGTTGCATGTTGGCCACTTGCCTGCAAGCCTTCAGAGATTTGCTAACGTGGCAGTTGCAAGCGAAACCAGCCATTGGTCGCACAGGCCCGAGCACTTCCTGCGAACAAGCAGCCATCTTCAGCGCGGCGCAGCGGAAACGAGTCAAGCGATCCCACTTTGAGCCCAACAGGCGGACGAGAAATCGCCACAGCGCCAGTGTGGCAAGTCTTTCATCTGTTCAGGGTTCCCTAAATGCCCCGCCCAAACATCACCCCATCAACAACCTCATTTCAACATGGCCCAAAAAGCAGTGTTTGAACCACTCGAAAGGGAAGCACGAGGACCGCTGATGCTTGCAATGGAGACTCCGTGGGTTATGGTCATGGCCCCTAAGAACCAGAAACCTTACTTGCAACAACGGCAACGAAAAGTTCTTTCAGATTCACTTTTAGCAAAAGATCAATACGCATTTGGAGGATTGCCCCGGTGGTACAATAATCCACAATCCGAAGTTGACGTGATTGTCTTGAACCGAAGAGAACCCCATGTGGGGAGATTGAGATCCCGCATTAGCCTTTCCCACAACGGGAGGCTGAAGAGGTTCATTCAAAACATGCCTTTGTAAAATGCACGAAATACGTGTCCCAAAAGCCAGGTATTCTTCCCCTATGATTGTAAAATAGTCGAGCAACTACTGATTAAAGAAGAAAGAGACAAGTATTCGCTGAAACTTCCGCCCACCGGCTTCGACGGCTCTACTGGTAATAATTGTACTATCATAAACAGAAAATATAGGTCTCAAGGATTATAGAACAAGTTTGTGCTTACCTCATGTGTTGTAGACAAATTGATGAATGTTGCACAATTTGCTACTTCAAACGTACCATGATGCATCTCATCGCGTTGGCCACGCAGCGAATTCTCTCATTGGCTTTAGTGAAACTGAAAATCGAGTCGCGGAATTTCGCACGGAAACTTCTGGGGTGGGGTTGGGTCCCAAACTACAGTCGTTCAACAAAGACTTCGAAGGGCGCAAACCCGCACAGCTTGGGAAACGATGGCCGGGGCCGTTAATTTCCAATTGCGTTCTTTTCAAAACTCGCGGTGGAAGGCCGATTGGGAGTGGCATCAGGTGCCTCAAAGTGGGGCTGCTTCATCAATCCTGTCTGTTCCTCGCGAGATTTACTTTGACGCAAATTATGTACATCGCAGGTTGGCCGCTCTCACGTAAGCCTCAGGACACATCTGACGTGAACCGAAAGCATGCCGCAACAAGCATTACCCCCAATTCCATTGACATGGCTGGGTCAGATTGATAACCTGACTAAGCTGCCGGCAAGGATCGCGGACCCCAGCTCATCTTGAGCCAGCTGACTCCTCAGAACCTGCATTTGGATTGGGGCAAGAATCACATTGCCTTGAAAGGGAATCCTATCGCTGGGGCATGGGAGCCGGGTGGGGCCCATCGTCTGCTTAAACAGATCTAAACACCTGTTGCTTAAACATCGCCATGCTGATTTCCCTTGACAACCAACGGAAGTGGACAGGAGGCCTTGCTGAGCTGGTTGGCGCAGGCGAGGATATTGGAGGATCGAATTCTTTACATGGGACCAGGCTGGGGAGGCCCTTCCAAGTCAATTTTTGCGATATCGCTTCTTAATTTTGGAACCCCTGACTTTGGCGGCCAGGTCCCGCATCAACATGAGTTCAATTCTAATTTTGCGAGTTTCGAGTAGATTGTGGGTCATATGAAACACCCTGAACCCAAAAGGACATTCTGGTGATATCCGGATATGCGTGCGGGTTTTGACGGCGTGGCTCGCTTGGGCCAGTCGCGCCTCGTCACCTTCGTCCAGGACGTCGACCTGAGCGCTTGCGAGGGCTCCCCATACTTAGTTACTTGGCTTTCAAACGTCACTCCACTTCAACACCCTTCATCAAGAGCAAAACCTTAACGGAAAGATGTAGCGAGCCCTTGGGCAAAAAGACGATTTCTGAGGCAGGCACATCAGACTCGTCCTCCTGGCTGGGTAACGCACGAATGGCTAAAGGGGGCTGCCCCAAAGTAGGGAACACTAACCGAACAAAGACTTTCGAACCATGTTTGGTTTGGAAATTCCCACAAGCACTGGTGTTCCACGCCACGTGACAGATTATCACCTCTTGAAAAAAATGGGGCGTGCCAACCCTGTGTTGCCAGGATCACCACATTCAAAGGCTGCAAGTAGAAGAAGGAACGAAGCAATGCTCAAAACCCTTTGGGGGATGCTTGTACCAGCATGCGCCTACAACCAAGTTGCACTCAGCTCAGCCTGGGCAATGCCGCGCGAGCTTTGTCTTGACATCAGAAACCCTTGTTTGCTCTTGAACATGGACCCAATAAAAAGCTATGCCTTACTCAGGTTTGTACGCGCGAAGTGCCCAAAGTACACATCAGAATCACCCAAGCGGCTCCTCCCTCGGCGCTGTTGTCACCGCCGCCCTCCTCCTTTGTGTCCTCCACGGTTGTTGGGTCCTTGCGGGATGAGTTTCAGGGAAATGTGTTGCAATCAACCATCAAGGCATCACATGTTCAACCAGATTGCTCGGTTGGGCGACTGAGTCAGAAATGCCCAACTTGGCACAGAACAAAAGTTGTTGGTCCCACAACGGTCAGTGCGATGTATGGCTTCAGCTAGTGTAGGGACGGTTTAGTTCGGGTTTAGCAGGGGGTTACAGTTACTTTGGGTGAGTCCAGAGAGTTTGTGGGCTTGCTCAGAGTTTGTTTAGGTTTGGGGATGGTTTAGAGGGGAGTTTGCGCCTGGTTTGGGGTTGGCTTAAAGTGGATTGGGGATGTTCTGGTGCGGGTTTAGTGTGGGTTTCGGATTGGTTTGCGGTTGGTTTACGGTTGGTGTTCGGATTGGTATGGGGGGGGGGGTAGTTTTTGGCTTGAGGTTTGTTAGGTTGGGTTTAGGTGCTCTTGTCGCTAAGCGAGCTCAGTAGGTAAATACTGAATTCAGGATCAACATCCACTGCACTTCAATGCTGCCCACAACACTCAATGTACAGGGAAGCAGCCTTGCTCTTCATGAGCGGCATCGCTTGCGGATTGTTCGGGCGTGGCCAGCCCTAGTATTTGCAAACGAGATCCAAGCATCACCTCCCAAGTGAAGTTCGTGAAATTAGAATGCGGGAGCGTTGGTACCTTTCGGTGGGCAGGCAGAAATTCGGGCGAGGCTCCCAAAGCTGCGGACATACAGGGTTACGCTTTTGGAGCTCCAAGATAAAACGGCTTGAACCAACACGAAGGTTTTTGATAGTTTTGCTCGGTCCTGGGCTTTGTCCCCTGACAAATCCATCGATGGAGTCCCAACAACCTCAAATCTTGCCTCCATTGAGACTCGCAATAGTATCTACGTCCAAGAATCAACCTTCCTTTATCTATAGAAACCACCAACAGAAGCGTTGCAGGTTATTCGCCTTGATAATTTCTAGGGGCGCAGGAATCAAGTTAACTTCTAGTTCTACCAAGTGTGTTGCAGCTTCTACGACACCAAAAAAAAGGAAGAACCTCCGGCGTGCGCCCCCCGGCTCCTGGCATTCGCATGCGGGCTCCTGCCAACACGCTCAAAATGTGAAAAATCTGGAAGCCTTTGTCGCGGAGACACGGCATGACTGGGTTCAGCAAAGTTGCTCAAAAGTATCCTCTCAGACGGTGGCTGAATGGAAATAAGCCCAATGTTTGTTTAAGACCCCCTCGATTTTTCCGATGCTTCTGGCCAAAAACTCCCGTCAGTCGGACTGTCCACCGTCGATTGGTTATCAACCCTAACTTTAGTCGCAGGCTCATATTGTTTCGCCATTCTAGGCCTGAACAAGTTGGTTTTCGGCGAAAGGGGCAAGGCCCCCAAAAGTCATGAGGAGTAAATGTGGGCTGAATGTATGTCCGCTGAAGGGCACTTGCAAAGATATCGGTTGGACGAAATTCAACTACCCGAAAAACATCGGAACCCCCAAAATGTTCCTGCTCCTTGACCCAAAGATGTCTGGTTTGGGCTTCGCCTCGAACCTTCCAACGGAAGTGGACAAGAGGCCTTGTTGAGATGGTAGTCTTCACCAAACCCCCCGTTGAAAATTCGACTATCGAATTCTTTACATGGGTAGACCAGGCTGGGGGCCCCTTCCAAGTCAATTTTGGCGATACGAATTCTTAATTTTGGAACCCTGGCTTTGGCGGACAGATCCCGCAACTGGACAAGAATCAGACGGTGTTAACATGAACATGAATTCAAGTCTGATTTTGCGGGTTTCGAGTAGATCGTGCGTCGTATAAAACACCCAAAAGGACATTCGGGTGATATCCGGATACGCGTGCGAGTTTTGACGACGTGGCTCGTTTGGGCCAGTCGCGCCTCGTCACCTTCGTCCAGGACGTCGACCTGAGCGCTTGCTAGGGCTCCCCATACTTGGCTTTCAAACATCACCCCACTTGAAACACACAGAAGACATGGCCCTTCATCAAGAGCAAAACCTTAACGGAAAGATGTAGCGAGCTTTTGGGCAAAAAGACGATTTCTGAGGCAGGCACATCAGACTTGTCCTCCTGGCTGGGTGACGCACGAATGGCTAAAGGGGGCTGCCCCAAAGTAGGGAACACTAACCGAACAAAGACTTTCGAACCATGTTTGGTTTGGAAATTCCCACAAGCACTGGTGTTCCACACCACGTGACAGACTATCACCGCGCCAACCCTGTGTTGCCAGGATCACCACACTCAAAGGCTGCAAATAGAAGAAGGAACGAAGCAACGCTCAACATTCTTTGGGGGCTGCTTGTACCAGCATGCGCCTACAACCAAGTTGCACTCAGCTACGCCTGGGTACAGGCTCCCAGGTTTGTGCAGGCGAAGTGCCCAAAGTACACATCAGATTCACCCAAGCGGCTCCTCCTCGGTGCTGTTGTCACCACCATGCTCTTCCTGTGTGTCCTCCACGATTGTTGGATCCTTGCGGGAAATGTGTTGCAATCAACCATCGAGGCATCACATGTTCAACCAATGTTGGCTTCTCCTGTTTTGAAACAGAAATGCCCAACTTGGCACAGAACAAAAGTTGTTGGTCCCACAATGGTCAGTGCGATGTATGGCTTCAGCTAGTGTAGGGAAGTTCTGGTTTAGCAAGGGGTTGCAGTTCCTTTGGGTGAGTCCAGAGTTGGTGTGGGCTTGCTCAGAGTTTGTTTAGATTTGGGATGGTTTAGAGGGGGGTTTGCACGTGGTTTGGGCTTGGCTTAAAGTGGGTTGGGGATGTTCTGGTCCGGGTTTAGTGTGGGTTTAGGGTTGGTTTACGGTTGGTTGACGGTTGGTTTACGTTGGTTTCGGGTTGGTACGGGGGGGGTAGTTTTTGGCTTAGGGTTCGTTAGGTTGGGTTTAGGTGCTCTTGTCGCTAAGCGAGCTCAGTAGGCAAATACTCAATTCAGGATCCAACAACCACTGCACTTCAATGCTGCCCACAACACTCAATGCACAGGGAAGCAGCCTTGCTCTTCATGGGCGGCAGCGCTTGCGGATTGCTCGGGCGTGGCCAGCCCTAGTATCTGCAAACGAGATCCAAGCATCACCTCCCAAGTGAAGTTCGTGAACTTAGAATGCGGGACCGTTGGTACCTTTCGGTTGGCAGGCAGAAATTCGGGCGAGGCTACCAAAGCTGCGGACATACAGGGCTACGCTTTTGGAGCTCCAAGATAAAACGGCTTGAACCAACACGAAGGTTTTTGATGATTTGGAGTCCCAACAACCTTGCCTCCATTGCCGAAAGACTTGTAACAAACCTTCATTTATCTATAGACACCACCTACAGGAAGCGCCATTCGCCTAGATGGGAATAGGAATCACATCAATTGTCCTTTGGCGCAAGCGACCAATGTTCCCCCGACTCAGCTCGGCTTGGCTCAAAAACCTCAGGGTATACTGCCCAAACGGCCTCTAACAGAAATGCCCAACCCGTAGCGTCCTTCGCCGCGCACCGCCAACAGGCCGCTCTCATGTAAGCCTCAGGAAACATCTCACGTGAACCGAAAGCATCCCAATGCCAGTGACATGGCTGGGTCGGATTGAAAACCTGACTGAGCCACCGGCAAGGATCGCGCCCCCTTGTTCGCAATGAGCCAGTTGGCTCCTTATCACCTTCGATCAATGGCATGCGGTTGCTCGCCGGAAGGGGTCCTTCAATCCATCAAGGCAAAACCCAAATGCACGTGCCTTCTAGGAATCCTTGGACGCCCAAAATCTCGGATACTCCAAAGACTGAGGGAAGAAACAAGTTTGCTTTTCGGATCCCGGCTACAAGTGGTTTTTCAAACTTCGACACCTTGGGACATAGCAAGGCTCAGGAACTCAACCCCACAAACCCTCTGGCTCCTCGGTGCCGCACACATCAACTGTTGTGATATTGCACGCAGGTGTTACAATAGCTTGCGCGTTGCACAGCCGTATCACACGTGTTTAAAGACAGATCTAACAAAGTCTGGTGGATATTGCATGATTCTGTCACATATGTCCACCAGCGATTCTCTAAGTCGCAGATTTCTATTCAAGCCAGTGTGTGTTCAGCATGAACCGCCTTTCCTCTTGCTACAGTAGATGGACAAATTAATCAAACCGCCAGGTGGGGGCGAGGGGGCGCGTTACAACTGCAAGGGTTTGATTGATTCGTCCACCTACGGTACGGATAGCGCTTCGGTTCCAGAATTGATATCTACGCACATACTGTGTGACCCTGCGCACGTTCATTTTGAAAAAGGCGTCGGTTGAACTCTGCGCGGTTTTCCTCAAGCTTTTCCACTTCCTAATCCGCGGGTGGTTGAATTTTCCAGTTCCTAATCCCCGGGTAGAGGAACGGGTAGAGGAACTGGAAAAACTCGAGGAATTTGACCACCCGAATATCAGGAACTGGAAAAACTCGAGTAATTCGAACACCCGAAGATTAGGACTGGAAAAACTCGAGGAACATGACCACCCGGGGATTAGGAGCTGGAAATACTCAACCACCCGCGGATTAGGAAGTGGAAAAGCTCGAGGAAAGCCGCGCAGATTTCAACAGACGCCTTTTTCAAAATGAACTTGCGCAGGGTCAAATAGTATGTGTGTAGCCACCAATTCTGGAACCGAAGCGCTAGCCGTACTGTCTGGGCAGGTAGGTGTTCAGTGTTTTTGGTCTTGGCAAGATGAAAGTATGTCTTCTCCTAGAAACATCTGCTTGTCCCTCGCGCAAAGCCATCTGCTGCGCAATGTCCTCACTTCACTCCCAGAAAAATATGCTTGTCTTTCGCGTGTCTCCATTGCTTTTGTCTTAGCAAGGTGACATACTGTCATCTTGCCAAGACCAAAAACACTGAAAACCTACCTGCCCAGACGGTACGGATAGCGCTTCAGAATTGGTGGCTGCGCACATAGTATTTGACCCTGCGCACGTTCATTTGAAAAAGGCGTCGACTGAACTCTGCGCGGCTTTCCTCGAGCTTTTCCACTTCCCAATCCGCGGGTGGTTGAATTTTTTCAGTTCCTAATCCCCTCGAGTTTTTCCAGTTCCTAATCAAATTCCTTCCAGTTCCTAATCTTCGAATGGTCAAATTCCTCGAGTTTTTACAGTTCCTAATCCCCGGTTGTTCGAATTACTCCAGTTTTCCCAGTTCCTAATTGTGTTCCCAGTTCCTTTCCAGTTCCTTTCCAGTTCCTTTCCAGTTCCTTTTCCAGTTCCTTTTCCAGTTCCTAATTTAGCATTTGTTGCGATTTCTCAGCAATTGCTTCTTGACCTTGCATTCATTTGAAGAAAAAGAAAAAGTATTGTTTCTTTGATATTTTAATAAACTTGGGATGACTGAGAAAGCACAGCAAATCCTAATTGGGAACTGGAAAAGGAACTGGAAAAGGAACTGGAAAGGAACTGGAAAGGAACTGGAAAGGAACTGGGACGCCAATTAGGAACTGGAAAACTCAAATAATTCGAACACCCGGGGATTAGGAGCTCGCGGAATTTGACCACCCGAGGATTAGGAACTGGAGAGTAATTCGAACACCCGAAGATTAGGACTGGAAAAACTCGAGGAACATGACCACCCGGGGATTAGGAGCTGGAAATACTCAACCACCCGCGGATTAGGAAGTGGAAAAGCTCGAGGAAAGCCGCGCAGATTTCAACAGACGCCTTTTTCAAAATGAACGTGCGCAGGGTCAAATAGTATGTGCGTAGCCACCAATTCTGGAACCGAAGCGCTAGCCGTACTGTCTGGGCAGGTAGGTGTTCAGTGTGTTTGGTCTTGGCAAGATGAAAGTATGTCTTCTCCTAGAAACATCTGCATGTCTCTCGTGCAAAGCCATCTGCTGAGCAATTCACTCCCAGAAAAATATGCTTGTCTCTCGCGTTTCTCCACTGCTTATTAGCAAGGTGACATACTTTCATCTTGCCAAGACCAAAAACACTGAAAACCTACTTGCCCAGACGGTACGGATAGCATTGGTGGCTGCGCACATACTTTGAACGGTGACCAAAAGGCAATGATAACAATGGCCACAAGCGGAAATACCGAACCAAACGGTTTCTTGGTAGTCTACCTTCAAAACATCGACGCCAAAAGATGGCCCTGAAATAAAACCGTCCCAATAAGGATCGCAGGGCTTTTGCAAGGGCCGGCGCCTCCATCGAGGCTGCCGCCTCCGGTACGGGCAAGGCCACTTGCTGAGAGCTGGTTTTCTCAGGGCTGTCCCCGTATCACCTTTTTTGCGGGCAGCACATGGCATACCTGGAAAAGGAATGTATACTTGGCCCAAATATCTTCACATTTCAACCGGTGGTGTTGAAACATCCCATGAGCCCCTTTGACCGCTCGAAAAGAAACGCGCCAAGAGGCCACACCAAAAACGAAACGATTTGAGAGGCCGGCCATATTCCGGGAAGAAAGGTACAGTCTCAGACCCTAGAAGTACAGCCCTTGAATCTAAAGCCATCAAACAACCCAACAGGGAAGAGAAAATGGCTCGAACCAACAGGCCCCCTGACAAAAATCTACTGATGGAGTCCCAACCTCAATACTCGCATCCATAAGGACTCGCGATCATAAGATGTTCGAACAAGTTGGTATGTTCGAGCCTCCCATTTATAGGAAGTGCTCCAGGTTGTTCGCTTGGCTACAACCCAACCGGCGCAGGCACACTTAACTTCAATGTAGGTTTACTTCATGTGTACTTTGTTTCGCAGTTTCTACGCAAAGAAATGGAGAACCTCATCCTCTCAGGTGGTTGAATGGAAATCCGCTCGAGCCATTGTAAGACGCCGTTTTGCCGCTTCCGTCAGAAACCGGTCAGCTGAACTGGTTGCAGTATGCCAAATTATAATCAAGTATACGAGTATGAATATATTAGATTTGAAACAAAGCAAGTTGGTTCGATATTCAAAAGCAATAACGAGCTGGATTCTTTCTAGAGCAAGGATAAACAATCAATACAAACACAGACCAAAAAAGGCCAAGATCTCGCCTCGTCAGCTTTGTCCCCAATGTCCACCGGCGCGTGGGCCTGCGCGGCTCCCCAGCTTTCGCCAAAAACATCACTCCACTTGAAGGAACACATGGAAGAAGCGGCCCTTCCCATCAAAAGCCAAATGTTCACGGAAAGATGCAGGGTTCTCGGGCAACAAGACGGCCCGCTTCCTGAGGCAGGTGCGTCGGACTTGTCCTGGCTGGACGCACGAACAACACCAACCAAACAAAAGGGAGACAGGTCTTTGGAACCATACTTGGTTAAGAAATCCCCACAAACACTGCTGACCCCGGAGTGATGAAACTATCGCGCCTCTCAAATTTGGCACACCACCACAAATGAATTTAAGCGTTTCAACCCTTGGCTGCCATCACCAGATTCGACCTACAGCCAGCACTGGTAGCAACACAGGGGACATTGACTCCGCTATATAGATGGGAGGCTGCAAAGAGAAAGGAGCGAAGCAACGCTCAAACTCCCTTTAAGGGTTTCTTGCACCAACATGCACCTATACCAAGTTGCACTCAGCTTAGCCTTCGCAACGGCGTAGGAAAGGATTGACATGAGGGAGCCCTTATTTTCTCTTGAAAACGGACCCAATCTTTCAAAAAAAAAAAAGGCTACGCCTTACAGGCTCCCATAGGCGTCGCGATCAACCATACGAGGTATCAAAACCTGGCTCAGCAACGCAACCCGCGTCCTTCTGCGCCACTCCCGTCTCCGCCGTGGCCTTGACCTCCGCCTTCGCAGCGGCGTCCTCCAGGTTGCCCACAGAACAAAAGTTCCAATCATGGGGCGGGTTCAGATCCGGTTTGGGCTGGGTCTAGTCAAAGGGTTTAAGCCAGTGATGATGCTGCAAAAACCAGCATGACGTTCCAACATCATCAGCGTAATGCTTTGCATAGTCGCGTGTGCTTGTAGTTTCATAACAATGCAGCTGCAGATGCTTTGCTGATGCAGAAACTTATGCTGATGCAGAAACACAGAGTCGCAGTGGCCACGGAGGCTGCAACCCGACGAAAGGCACAGAGCCCACCCCGTCACAGACCCGCAGAGGGTCCATTTGGCTCTGGTTTAGCAGGGGGCTACAGAAAGTTTGGATGAGCCTGGGGCTTGCTCAGGTTTGTTTAGGTTTGGTTCAGGCAGGGATTAGGGTAGAGCGGCGCAACCACAAATTCGCAAAAATAAAAAAACAAAAAGCAAAACAAAAATGGAAAAACACGCAAACGCAACTGATGCAAACTGCCCTCCCGTGATTGTGTTGCATGTAAACCGTTGGTCTAGGACGGGTTGAGGCGTGGCGTGCGAGGCGGCGGACTGACCCACCGAACCCGACCACACAGGGCCCGCTCGTACGCACCTCGGGCTCAGGTCTTTTTGCAACATCCTCATAGGAACCATTGATAAAATGCAAGCTTGCATGTTGTTGTCTCCAGAGACGCAGACCTTCAATCATGTAATTATTTGGTGTAAAGCATTCCAATAAGCTATTCGAGCTGGAGCATCTAACCTTCAAGCCTTCATTCTTCTGGCTGCTGAGCTTACGAAGCATCACCTTGCGCAAACAACCTCCATCTCTATGTTTCGCTCGTCTATGTTTCGGATGTTTTAGCATCCTCACAAGACCAGGCTCTGTTTAAACAAGATGTGTCCTATGCTTGTGTACAATGCAGGCATTCAGCCCCTAAAATAAGCACGCCAACACATGATACACATGCTAAACAGGAGTGTCTCATGCAGAGAACGGCCAACATGAACCGCGACTCATAATAATCACAAGTTAATACAACTCATGAGCCAATAACCACCACCTTCAGCTCAATATTGCTACTTTGGCAAGCTGAGGTCGCCTACACTATCAGACGTCCAGCAGTTTGTCAACAAAAGGGTCCCTTTTGGGCCCCGGTACCACAGGCACAACCGTGCAGACCCTTGATGCCCAGCTACGTCCAAGAATTGAATCGCAAATGGTTTGCTGCTTTTCGCAAGTGGGTAGAACAAGGTGTTTTAGAGAAACCTAGCCGTTTTGCAGGACAAACCCATTTACAGCTCAGTGAGGACGCGGAAGGCAGGAAAGCAGCGGCTTTAGTGACTTATTTCCCCTCCCACCTCAAGTCGGCCGAGCAACACGGGAGCGCCTCGGCGATCAATACTTAGGAATGCCATGCGCCCAAAGTCTTAAAATACAATGGACGTCTTAGAGTCTTGCACCGACACCGTCGGAAAAAACGGAGTATATCATATCGGCGAAACGCAGCCGCTAGTTTCCTTCCTCGGCCCTCACTCTCTTTATCAACACGGCGAGGCGCCCAGAACCCTTTTTCCCTATTGCGGTTTTCTGCCAAGAAACCAGCTACAAAAAGTTCTGCAGGAAATCAACATGGTTTTGGCCGGTGTCTGGCCAATTTCCTGTAGCTGGTATTTCCACGAGTTCCCCCAACACAAGCCACAAGCCTGAGGCGTCAACATCATACACAGCCGAGGTCTTTACTCAAGGTTTGGTTTGCCTCTCTCCAATCCAAGCACTTCCAACTTGGAAACATCTACCTTTAGTGGCTTCATTTGGAAGACCTCGAGTGAAGCTAAAAATGCACATTTTGGTGGCTGTCAAGACGGTGGGCCCCTTGTTGAAGGTTGGAAAGGTAAACTACAAGGAAACCAACGGAAACTTGACGAACCGCCGTTCCCTGCAAAACAGAGACTTTGGGTCGCCTCCGAAAAATCGAAACGCTTGACCGGGCTGCGTGGCCAAAGGTTGCCACAGTCAGCAAAGCCAGAGTTGGACTGATCCAAATCCTACGCACGAAGTCCTGACTAATTTAGATCCCCAATGCCATTGGACAGTGAGCACGAAACGCGCTGGTTGTTGAGGCCGCAGCTGCTGCGAGGCTGTTCCTAGCAGATGCGGGGAGGTTACGACCCAGGCAGGACAAGCACAAGGCCAAAAGAAAAACAAGGAGACAAAAGACAAAGATAGAGCGAGAAAAAAAGAAGCCAAAACAAAAGAAAGAGAGAGAGAAGGAAACAAGAAAGAAGGGCAGAGAGAGAGAGAGAGGGAAACATGAAAAGAACGAAAGAAAGACATGAAGAAAATGAAATGCGAAACTGCCATTCAGTAGTATTATAGTTGCTTTCTGAACTGGTGGTAAAACAGTGCTAATTCAAACTTACGTTCTGAACGCGCATGGAAAACCACGTGGGAAGGAAAGCCAGAAAGCAGAAAGGAAGGAAGGAAGGAAAGCAAAAGGCGAGCAACAAAACAGAGAGTCAGAGAAGGAAAAAAATAAACGGTAGAGAGAGCCCACCGAAAACTTGAAACAAAAATGGCGCCTGCTCAGAGCACCCAATTCGACCCATGAGGCCTCTTGTCAAGGTGACAATATGGATCAAACGGTTCTGAAGGAGCAGTCAAATTGCTTCACAACCATGCACGTTGACTGGTGCGTCGCAACTATTTGACGTCATACCCAAACCTGTTTGCGATTCCCCTCCCTTCTGTCTCTTTCAATCCCCTGCGCGCCAGGCCTTCACCTTCCAGACCAAACGTCGCTTGGCCTCGGTCTGCGGTCTCCCGTTTTCAAATACGCTCTGACGCCACCGTCATCGCTTGCCTTTTCCACTATGCTCCTAGAAACTAACATTAAACACGCCAAAGTACCCCTTCGGACGCCCTGTTGGGCGCTTGCTTTCATTGTTTGGCGCCAGTGCGCTGGAACCCTCATAGTACTGCTGAAGCGCGATACATTCAGTTGTCAGAAACATACTACATACCCCCGCAAACATGTGAAACCAACACGGGTTGCGCTTATCTTTTTGGACGTTTCTGCTCGGGCCCCCGAAAACTCACGAACTTGCAGGACAGTTGCCGCCAACCCCGCTGCCCCACGCAGGCTGCTGCACAAAGAATGCGCACTCGAGTGCACACATTTACTGGGGGGCGAGGACCCCAGCCACACGATTGGTCCAGGAGGCAAGTTGGTTTAATGTTACTTCATAATTTCATAGTTGTTTAGGCCCTTGAGAACCGAAAGAAAGGAAACAAAACACCATTTCTTAAAGGATGCCAGCGCATCAAGAAACCACCTACTTTGCAAGATCTCCAAAATTTGGTGAATGCGATCGTTCGACTGGCCTAAATGTCTCCTAGGACCCGGCATCCAAAAAGCGCAAGTCGGCTCTGAGGCGCTCAGAAACCCATTTCGGCGAAGGAAAATCGGCTTCCCAGTTTGCTTCATCAGTTTTATGGGGGAGCCCTTACAGCAGGGACAGAGAAAACATGCTGCGCCAAGTACCATGAAAGCCAATTCCAAGCGCGCGCGAGGACACTTTCGTTCGGCGTTGGCTTCTTCAATGGGCAAATGGCTTTGGTCATTCAGCATACTCACTTCAAGTTCAAGCTGATAAGATGCCTCATCGACTAATTGACGCCGGTTCCAGCGCAGAGTGGCTAGCTGTTGCCGCGCGTGAGAATGTAGAGCAACCAGGGCAGAACAGGACAAAGCGAAAACGACTGAGAAGCATGGGATTAGCCGGGGCTTGACACAAAACCGGCGCCTGTCTAGAGCAACCAATTCGACCCATGAGGCCTCACGGTGACAATGGATCAAACGGTTCTGAAGGAGCAGTCAAATTGCTTCACAACCATGCACGTTGACTGGTGCGTCGCAACTATTTGACGTCATACCCAAACCTGCTTGCGATTCCCCTCCCTTCTGTCTCTTTCAATCCCCTGCGCGCCAGGCCTTCACCTTCCAGACCCACTTGGCCGCTGTGGTCTGCTGTCTCACCTGTGATGCCACCATCATCGTTTGCCTTTTGGGCCCCTTGAAGGGGTAGACAGTCAGGTTCCACGCTAGCTGGTGGGAAAATGGCATATACAACTCAACAGCTCCTTGACGAACTCTTTTCGTGGGGTTTTGCCATTTGCAAGTCTTTTCGTGAGGTTTGCGGCTTGCCCATCAGCCTTTCAATGGGGCTTGGCTTTGGCGAACGCTCTGGTGGGGGGCTTGCCACTCTTGCAATCCTTCCGCTGGCAAATTGAGAGGAAAGGACTGATCATGCTCAAACAAGAGTGTACAATATTAAAAAAGTGATCCGACACTCTAACCCTACCCTGAGACCAAAAACATCATGCTACGTAGAATCCTTTTTGGGGGCCTCATGTCCCACCCAGCCCAAGCACTTCCTGCAAAAAAGCAGCCATCTTCACCGGGGCGCAGAGGAAACGAGGCGAGCGATCCCACTTTGAGCCAAAAGGGCAGCGGACGAGGAATCGCTACAGCGCCAGTGTGGCAAGTCTTTCATATGTTCAGGGTTCCCTATATGCCCCGCCCAAACATCACCCCATCAACAACCTCATTTCAACATGGCCCAAAAAGCAAGGTTTGAACCACTCGAAAGGGAAGCACGAGGACCCCTAATGCTTGCAATGGAGACCCCGTGGGTTATGGTCATGGCCCCTAAGAACCAGAAACCTTACTTGCAATAACGGCACCGAAAAGTTCTTTCAGATTAACTTTCAGCAAAAGATCAATACGCACTTGGAGGATTGCCCCGGTACAACAATAATCCACAATCCGAAGACGTGATCGTCTTGAACCGAAGAGAACCCCTGGGGAGATTGAGATCCCGCATTAGCCTTTCCCACAACGGGAGGCTGAAGAGGCTCATTCAAAACATGTCCTTTGTAAAATGCACGAAATACGTGGCCCAAAAGCCAGGTATTCTTCCCCTATGATTGTAAAATAGTCGAGCAACTGATTAAAGAAGAAAGAGACAAGTATTCGCTGAAACTTGCGCCCACCGGCTTCGACGGCTCTACTGGTAATGATTGTACTATCATAAACAGAAAAATATAGGTCTCAAGGATTGTAGAACAAGTTTGTACTTAACTTATGTGTTGTAGACAAATTGATGAATGTTGCACAATTTGCTACTTCAAACGTACCATGATGCATCTCATCGCGTTGGCCATGCAGCGAATTCTCTCATTGGCTTTAGTGAAACTGAAAATCGAGTCGCGGAATTTCGCCCGGAAACTTCTGAGGGGAGGTTGGGTCCCAAACTACAGTCGTTCAACAAAGACTTCGAAGGGCGCAAACCCGCACAGCTTGGGAAACGATGGCCAACTGGGGCCGTTAATTTCCAATTGCGTTCTTTTCAAAACTCGCGGTGGAAGGCCGATTGGGAGTGGTACCAGGTACCTCAAAGTGGGGCTGCTTCATCAATCCTGCCTGTTCCTCGCGAGATTTACTTTGACGCAAATTATGTACATCGCAGGTTGGCCGCTCTCACGTAAGCCTCAGGACACATCTGACGTGAACCGAAAGCATGCCGCAACAAGCATTACCCCCAATTCTAGTGACATGGCTGGGTCAGATTGATAACCTGACTAAGCTGCCGGCAAGGATCGCGGACCCCAGCTCATCTTGAGCCAGCTGACTCTTCAGAACCTGCAATTGGATTCGGGCAAGAATCACATGCCTTGAAAGGGAATCCTATCGCTGGGGCATGGGAGCCGGGTGGGGCCCATCGTCTGCTTAAACAGATCTAAACACCTGTTGCTTAAACATCGCCATGCTGATTTCCCTTGACAGCCAACGGAAGTGGACAGGATATTGGCCGATCGAATTCTTTACATGGGTAGACCAGGCTGGGGAGGCCCTTCCAAGTCAATTTTCGCGATATCGCTTCTTAATTTGGGAACCCCTGACTTGGGCGGCCAGGTCCCGCATCAACATGAGTTCAAATCTAATTTTGCGAGTTGCGAGTAGATTGTGGGTCATATGAAACACCCAAAAGGACATTCTGGTGATATCCGGATATGCGTGCGGGTTTTGACGGCGTGGCTCGCTTGGGCCAGTCGCGCCTCGTCACCTTCGTCCAGGACGTCGACCTGAGCGCTTGCTAGGGCTCCCCATACTTGGCTTTCAAACGTCACCCCACTTCAAACACACAGATCAAATGGCCCTTCATCAAGAGCAAAACCTTAACGGAAAGATGTAGCGAGCCCTCGGGCAAAAAGAGGATTTCTGAGGCAGGCGCATCAGACTTGTCCTCCTGGGTGACGCACGAATGGCCAAAGGGGGCTGCCCTAAAGTAGAGAACACCGAACAAAGACCTGCCAGGTCTTTGGAACCATGTTTGGTTGGGAAATTCCCACAAGCACTGGTGTTCCAAGCAAGGCGACAGATTATCACCTGTTTAAAACAAATGGGGCGTGCCAACCCTGTGTTGCCAGGATCACCACATTCAAAGGCTGCAAATAGAAGAAGGAACGAAGCAATGCTCAAAACCCTTTGGGGGATGCTTGTACCAGCATGCGCCTACAACCAAGTTGCACTCAGCTCAGCCTGGGCAATGCCACGCGAGCTTTGTTTTGACATCAGAAGCCCTTGTGTGCTCTTGAACATGGACCCAATAAAAAGCTATGCCTTACTCAGGTTTGTACGCGCAAAGTGCCCAAAGTACACGTCAGATTCACCCAAGCGGCTCCTCCTCGGCGCTGTTGTCACCGCCGTCCTCCTCCTTTGTGTCCTCCGCGGTTGTTGGATCCTTGCGGGATGAGTTTCAGGGAAATGTGTTGCAATCAACCATCGAGGCATCACATGTTCAACCAGATTGCTGGGTTGGGCGACTGAGTCAGAAATGCCCAACTTGGCACAGAACAAAAGTTGTTGGTCCCACAATGGTCAGTGCGATGTATGGCTTCAGCTAGTGTAGGGACGGTTTAGTTCTGGTTTAGCAGGGGGCTACAGTTACTTTGGGTGAGTCCAGAGAGTTTGTGGGCTTGCTCAGAGTTTGTTTAGGATTGGGGATGGTTTAGAGGGGGTTTTGCACCTGGTTTGGGGTTGGCTTAAAGTGGATTGGGGGTTTAGTGTGGGTTTCGGATTGGTTTGCGGTTGGTTTACGGTTGGTGCTCGGATTGGTATGGGGGGGCGGGGGGGTAGTTTTTGGCTTAGGGTTCGTTAGGTTGGGTTTAGGTGCTCTTGTCGCTAAGCGAGCTCAGTAGGTAAATACTCAATTCAGGATCCAACATCCACTGCACTTCAGTGCTGCCCACAACACTCAATGTACAGGGAAGCAGCCTTGCTCTTCATGGGCGGCAGCGCTTGCGGATTGTTCGGGCGTGGCCAGCCCTAGTATCTGCAAACGAGATCCAAGCATCACCTCCCAAGTGAAGTTCGTGAAATTAGAATGCGGGAGCGTTGGTACCTTTCGGTGGGCAGGCAGAAATTCGGGCGAGGCTCCCAAAGCTGCGGACATACAGGGTTGCGCTTTTGGAGCTCCAAGATAAAACGGCTCGAACCAACATGAAGGTGTCTCAGACGGTGGCTGAATGGAAATAAGCCCAATGTTTGTTTAAGGCGCCCTCGATTTTTCCGATGCTTCTGGCCAAAAACTCCCGTCAGTCGGACTGTCCACCGTCGATTGGCTATCAACCCTAACTTTAGTCGCAGGCTCATATTGTTTCGCCATTCTAGGCCTGAACAAGTTGGTTTTCGGCGAAAGCGGCTTGAGGCCAAAGGCCCCCAAAAGTCATGAGGAGTAAATGTGGGCTGAATGTATGTCCGCTGAAGGGCACTTGCAAAGATATCGGTTGGACGAAATTAAACTACCCGAAAAAACATTGGAACCCCCAACTGCTCCTTGACCCACCAAAGATGTCTGGTTTGGGCTTCGCCTCGAACCTTCCAACGGAAGTGGACAAGAGGCCTTGTTGAGATGGTAGTCTTCACCAAACCCCGCGATGGAAATTTGACTATCGAATTCTTTACATGGGTAGACCAGGCTGGGGGCCCCTTCCAAGTCAATTTTGGCGATTGGTTCTTAATTTTGGAACCCTGGCTTTGGTGGACAGATCCCGCAACTGGACAAGAATCAGACGGTGTTAACATGAACATGAATTCAAGTCTAATTTTGCGAGTTTCGAGTAGATGGTGTGTCATATAAAACACCCAAAAGGACATTCGGGTGATATCCGGATACGCGTGCGAGTTTTGACGGCGTGGCTCGTTTGGGCCAGTCTCGCCTCGTCACCTTCGTCCAGGACGTCGATCTGAGCGCTTGCTAGGGCTCCCCATACTTGGCTTTCAAACATCACCCCACTTGAAACAAACAGAAGAAATGGCCCTGCATCAAAAGCAAAACCTTAACGGAAAGATGTAGCGAGGTCTCGGGCAAAAAGAGGATTTCTGAGGCAGGCGCATCAGACTTGTCCTCCTGGCTGGGTGACGCACGAATGGCTAAAGGGGGCTGTCCCAAAGTAGGGACACTAACCGAACAAAGAGACAGGTCTTTCGAACCATGTTTGGCTTTGAAGTTCCCACAAAGAGCACTGGTGTTCCACGCCACGTGACAGACTATCACCGTGCCAACCCTGTGTTGCCAGGATCACCACACTCAAAGGCTGCAAATAGAAGAAGGAACGAAGCAACGCTCAACATTAATTGGGGGCTGCTTGTACCAGCATGCGCCTATAACCAAGTTGCACTCAGCTCAGCCTGGGCACAGGCTCCCAGGTTTGTGCGCGCGAAGTGCCCAAAGTACACATCAGATTCACCCAAGCGGCTCCTCCTCGGTGCTGTTGTCACCACCATGCTCTTCCTGTGTGTCCTCCACGGTTGTTGGATCCTTGCGGAGTTTTGGGGAAATGTGTTGCAATCAACCATCGAGGCATCACATGTTCAACCAGATTGCTGGGCTGGGCGACTGAGTCCCTTGCTCAAACCGCCAATGTTGGCTTCTCCTGTTTTGAAACAGAAATGCCCAACTTGGCACAGAACAAAAGTTGTTGGTCCCACAATGGTCAGTGCGATGTAGGATTGGCTTCAGCTAGTGTAGGGACGGTTTAGTTCTGGTTTAGCAGGGGGTTACAGTTGCTTTGGGTGAGTCCAGAGTTGGCTTGGGCTTGCTCAGAGTTTGTTTAGATTTGGGGATGGTTTAGACGGGGGTCTGCACGTGGTTTGGGCTTGGCTTAAAGTGGATTGGGGATGTTCTGGTCCGGGTTTAGTGTGGGTTTAGGGTTGGTTTACGGTTGGTTTACGGTTGGTTGACGGTTGGTTTACGGTTGGTTTCGGGTTGGTAGGGGGGGGGTAGTTTTTGGCTTAGGGTTCGTTAGGTTGGGTTTAGGTGCTCTTGTCGCTAAGCGAGCTCAGTAGGTAAATACTCAATTCAGGATCCAACATCCACTGCACTTCAGTGCTGCCCACAACACTCAATGTACAGGGAAGCAGCCTTGCTCTTCATGGGCGGCAGCGCTTGCGGATTGTTCGGGCGTGGCCAGCCCTAGTATCTGCAAGCGAGACCCAAGCATCACCTCCCAAGTGAAGTTCGTGAAATTAGAATGCGGGAGCGTTGGTACCTTTCGGTGGGCAGGCAGAAATTCGGGCGAGGCTCCCAAAGCTGCGGACATACAGGGTTGCGCTTTTGGAGCTCCAAGATAAAACGGCTCGAACCAACACGAAGGTGTTTGATGATTTTGCTCGGTCCTGGGCTTTGTCCCCTGACAAATCCACCGATGGAGTCCCAACAACCTTGCCTCCATTGCCGAAAGACTTGTAACAAACCTTCATTTATCTATAGACACCACCTACAGGAAGCGCCATTCGGCTAGATGCCCCCTAGGGGAATAGGAATCACATCAATTGTCCTTTGGCGCAAGCGACCAATGTTCCCCCGACTCAGCTCGGCTTGGCTCAAAAACCTCAGGGTATACTGCCCAAACGGCCTCTAACAGAAATGCCCAACCCGCGTCCTGCGCCGCGCACCGCCAACAGGCCGCTCTCATGTAAGCCTCAGGAAACATCTCACGTGAACAGAAAGCATCCCAATGCCAGTGACATGGCTGGGTCGGATTGAAAACCTGACTGAGCCACCGGCAAGGATCGCGCCCCCTTGTTCGCAATGAGCCAGCTGGCTCCTTATCACCTTCGATCAAGAATGGCATGCGGTTGCTCGCCGGAAGGGGTCCTTCAATCCATCAAGGCAAAACCCAAATGCACGTGCCTTCTAGGAATCCTTGGACGCCCAAAATCTCGGAAGAAACAAGTTTGCTTTTCGGATCCCGGCTACAAGTGGTTTTTCAAACTTCGACACCTTGGGACATAGCAAGGCTCAGGAACTCAACCCCACAAACCCTCTGGCTCCTCGGTGCCGCACACATCAACTGTTGTGATATTGCACGCAGGTGTTACAATAGCTTGCGCGTTGCACAGCCGTATCACACATGTTTAAAGACAGATCTAACAAAGTCTGGTGGATATTGCATGATTCTGTCACATATGTCCGCCAGCGATTCTCTAAGTCGCAAATTTCTATTCAAGCCAGTGTGTGTTCAGCATGAACCGCCTTTCCTCTTCCTACAGTAGATGGACAAATTAATCAAACCGCCAACAGATGCGGCGCATATCCCCCCCCGGAACCCCCCAATGTCAATGTTACACTAAACACAAGCGCTTTTAATGTCATCGGGGTTTGATTTAATTCGTCCACCCAGCCCGATCCAACTGGGCGATAACATTGAAATTGGGGGTGGGGGCGAGGGGGCGCGTTACAACTGCAAGGGTTTGATTGATTCGTCCACCTACGGTACGGATAGCGCTTCGGTTCCAGAATTGGTGGCTACGCACATACTATTTGACCCTGCGCACGTTCATTTTGAAAAAGGCGTCGGTTGAACTCTGCGCGGTTTTCCTCAAGCTTTTCCACTTCCTAATCCGCGGGTGGTTGAATTTTCCAGTTCCTAAGCCCCGGGTGGAGGAACTGGAAAAACTCGAGGAGTTTGACCACCCGGATATCACGAGCTGGAAAACCTCGAGTAATTCCAACACCCGAAGAATAGGAACTGGAAAACTCGAGGAACATGACCACCCGGGGATTAGGAACTGGAAATATTCAACAACCCGCGGAGTAGAAAGTGAAAACGCTCGAGGAAAGCCGCGCAGATTTCAACAGACGCCTTTTTCAAAATGAACGTGCGCAGGGTCAGCCGTACTGTCTGAGCAGGTAGGTTTTCAATGTGTTTGGTCTTGGCAAGATGAAAGTATGTCTTCTCCTAGAAACATCTGCTTGTCTCTCGCGCAAAGCCATCTGCTGCGCAATGTCCTCACTTCATTCCCAGAAAAATATGCTTGTCTTTCGCGTGTCTCCATTGCTTTTGTCTGAGCAAGGTGACATACTGTCATCTTGCCAAGACCCAAAACACTGAAAACCTACCTGCCCAGACGGTACGGAAAGCGCTTCGGTTCCAGAATTGGTGGCTACGCACATAGTGTTTGACCCTGCGCACGTTCATTTTGAAAAAGGCGTCGGTTGAACTCTGCGCGGCTTTCCTCGAGCTTTTCCACTTCCTAGTCCGCGGGTGGTTGAATTTTTCCAGTTCCTAATCCCCGGGTGGTCACGTTCCTCGAGTTTTTCCAGTTCCGATTCTAATTGTATTCCCAGTTCCTTTCCAGTTCCTTTCCAGTTCCTTTCCAGTTCCTTTCCAGTTCCTTTCCAGTTCCTTTCCAGTTCCTTTTCCAGTTCCTTTTCCAGTTCCTAGTTAGGATTTGTTGCGTTTTCTCAGCAATTGCTTTTTGACCATGAATTCATTTAAAGAAAAAGAAAAAGTATTGTTTCTTTTCTATTTTAAGAAACTTGGGATGACTGGGAAAACACAGCAAATCCTAATTAGGAACTGGAAAAGGAACTGGAAAAGGAACTGGAAAGGAACTGGAAAGGAACTGGAAAGGAACTGGAAAGGAACTGGAAAGGAACTGGGACGCCAACCAGGAACTGGAAAAACTCAAGCAATTCGAACACCCGGGGATTAGGAGCTTGAAAAACTGGAGTAATTCGAAAAACTCGCGGAATTTGACCACCCGGGATTAGGAACTGGAGGGTAATTCGAACACCCGAAGATTAGGACTGGAAAAACTTCAGGAACATGACCACCCGGGGATTAGGAGCTGGAAATATTCAACCACCCGCGGATTAGGAAGTGAAAACGCTCGAGGAAAGCCGCGCAGATTTCAACAGACGCCTTTTTCAAAATGAACGTGCGCAGGGTCAAATAGTATGCGCGTAGCCACCAATTCTGGAACCGAAGCGCTGGCCGTACTGTCTGGGCAGGTAGGTTTTCAGTGTGTTTGGTCTTGGCAAGATGAAAGTATGTCTTCTCCTAGAAACATCGGAATGTCTCTCGTGCAAAGCCATCTGCTGCGCAATGTCCTCACCTCACTCCCAGAAAAATATGCTTGTCTCTCGCGTTTCTCCACTGCTTTTTAGCAAGGTGACATACTTTCATCTTGCCAAGACCCAAAAAACGCTGAAAACCTACTTGCCCAGACGGTACGGATAGCGCTTCGGTTCAAGAATTGGTGGCTGCGCACATACTTTGAACGGTGACCAAAAGCCAATGATAACAATGGCCACAAGCGGAAATACCGAACCAAACGGTGTCTTGGTAGTCTACCTTCAAAACATCGACGCCAAAAGATGGCCCTGAAATACAACCGTTCCAATAAGGATCGCAGGGCTTTTGCAAGGGCCGGCGCCTCCATCGAGGCTGCCACCTCCGGTACGGGCAAGGCCACTTGCTGAGAGCTGGTTTTCTCAGGGCTGTCCGTATCACCTTTTTTGCGGGCAGCACATGGCATACCTGGAAAAGGAATGTATACTTGGCCCAAATCTTCACGTTTCAACCGGTGGTGTTGAAACATCCCATGAGCCCCTTTGACCGCTGCTCGAAAAGAACGCGCCAACAAGAGACCACACCAAAAACGAAACGATTCGATGAGAGGCCCCTGGCCAGATTCCTTGAATCTAAAGCCATCAAACGGACCCCTAGCTGGACAACTCTTCCCCGAACCAACAGGCCTGACAAAAATCTACTGATGGAGTCCCAACAGCCTTAAAACTTGCCTCCATTGTCAAAGGACTTGCAATCATAAGATGTTCGAACAAGTTGGTATGTTCGAGCCTCCCATTTATAGAAACCACCAGGAAGTGCTCCAGGTTGTTCGTTCACTACAACCCGAGAGCAACCCGACAGGCGCAGGCACACTTAACTTCAATGTAGGTGTACTTTTTTGCAGTTTCTACAACGCAAAGAAATGAAGAACCTCCGGATCCTTTCAAAAGGTGGTTGAATGGAAATCCGCTCCAGCAATTTTAAGACGCCGTTTTGCCGATGCTTCTGGCAAAAACGAGTCAGTTGAACTTGTCCATTTCGCCCTGTGGCGGGCGCGCGGCGTGGCTGGAAAGCGGGTCGTTTTGGCTAGTATGTCACGCAGAAGCCTTCCTGGAGACCAGGCTGGCGGAACCCGTAGACAGCTGGTCCAACCAAGCGGAGCAGCTGGCGGAGCCGGGTGAGAAGGCCTTCACGACTGTGGACCAATGACCAACCCGGAAGGGAATGAACACCCACCCGTCTAAACCGTTTGGCTTCCCAAATCGCATGCCAGAAACACGTGGTCCTTTGGCGCCAGCGATGAAAACTGTTCTGTTTAAGGGCCCCGGACTCAGCTCGGTTTGGCTCAAAGACCTCAGGGTTTACTGCCCAAACGGCCGTTTTCCAAACGGAGCCCATTGCAGTGACAATCCGGATCCTTTTTGCGGGGCACTTCGAGACCCCTAAATCTTGGTTTGTTTCCTTTTGCTTCCCTCTAACCAACATCCAAATTGGATTCTCAAACTGTTGGACACATTCAAGGGAACCCGGAACCCAGAAAGGGTCCATACATCTTGGTTTTCGGGGACCATATGCAACAGTATGCCAAATTATAATCAAGTATACGAATATGAATATTAGATTTGAAACAAAGCAATTTGGCTTGATATTCAAAAGCAATAACGAGCTGGATTTTTTCTAGAGCAAGGATAAACAATCGATACAAACACAGACCAAAAAAAGGCAAGATCTCGCCTCGTCAGCTTTGTCCCCAATGTCCACCGGCGCGTGGACCTGCGCGGCTCCCCAGCTTTCGCCAAGAACATCACTCCACTTGAAGGAACACATGGAAGAAGCGGCCTTCGTGTCAAAAGCCACATGTTCACGGAAAGATGCAGGATTCTCGGGCAACAAGCGGAAAGATGCAGGATTCTCGGGCAACAAGACGGTTCCTGAGGCAGGTGCGTCGGACTTGTCCTGGCTGGACGCACGAACAACACCAGCCAAACAAAAGGGAGACAGGTCTTTGGAACCATACTTGGAATCCCCACAAACACTGCTGACCCCGGATTGATGAAACTAGCGCGCCTCTCAAATTTGGCACACCGCCACAAAATGATTTTAAGCGTTTCAACCCTTCACCAAATTCGACCTACAGCCAGCACTGGTAGCAACACAGGGGACATTGACTCCGCTATATAGATGGGAGGCTGCAAAGAGAAAGGAGCGAAGCAACGCTCAAAATCCCTTTAAGGGTTTCTTGCACCAACATGCACCTATACCAAGTTGCACTCAGCTCAGCCTGCGCAACGGCGTGCGAAAGGATTGACATGAGGGAGCCCTTATTTGCTCTTGAAAACGGACCCAATTATTTTAATTAAAAAAAGCTACGCCTTACAGGCTCCCATAGGCGTCGCGATCAACCATACGAGGTATCAAACCTGGCTCAGCAAATGAGATTGCAGCAGCCCGCGTCCTTCTGCGCCACTCTCGTCTCCTCCGCCTTGGCCTTGACCTCCGCCTTCGCAGCGGCATCCTCCAGGTTGCCCGCAGAACAAAAGTTTCAATCGTCATGGGGCGGGTTCAGATCCGGTTTGGGCTGGGTCTAGTCAAAGGTTAGGGTTTAAGCCAGTGATGATGCTGCAAAAACCAGCATGACGTTCCAACATCAGCGTAATGCTTCGCACGTCTGTGCTAGACATAGTTGCGTGTGCTTGTAGGTTCATAACAATGCAGCTGCAGATGTTATGCTGACGCAGAAACTTATGCTGATGCAGAAACACAGAGTCGCAGTGGCGACGCAGGCTGCTGCAACCTGTCACGAAAGGCACAGAGCCCACCCCGTCACAGACCTGCCGCAGAGGGTCCATTTGGCTCTGGTTTAGCAGGGGGCTACAGAAAGTTTGGATGAGCCTGGGGCTTGCTCAGGTTTGTCTAGGTTTGGTTCAGGCAGGGATTAGGGTTTGGTTCAGGCAGAAATGAAGAACCTCCGGATCCTTTCAAAAGGTGTTGAATGGAAATCCGCTCCAGCAATCTTAAGACGCCGTTTTGCCGATGCTTGCTGGTCCAACCAAGCGGCGCAGCTGGCGGAGCCGGGTGAGAAGGCCTTCACGACTGTGGACCAATGACCAACCCGGAAGGGAATGAACACCCACCCGTCTAAACCGTTTGGCTTCCCAAATCGCATGCCAGAAACACGTGGTCCTTTGGCGCCAGCGATGAAAACTGTTCTGTTTAAGGGCCCCGGACTCAGCTCGGTTTGGCTCAAAGACCTCAGGGTTTACTGCCCAAACGGCCGTTTTCCAAACGGAGCCCATTGCAGTGACAATCCGGATCCTTTTTGCGGGGCACTTCGAGACCCCTAAATCTTGGTTTGTTTCCTTTTGCTTCCCTCTAACCAACTTCCAAAAAGGATTCTCAAACTGTTGGACACATGCAAGGGAACCCGGAACCCAGAAAGGGTCCATACATCTTGGTTTTCGGGGACCATATGCAACAGTATGCCAATTATAATCAAGTATACGAATATGAATATTAGATTTGAAACAAAGCAATTTGGCTTGATATTCAAAAGCAATAACGAGCTGGATTTTTTCTAGAGCAAGGATAAACAATCGATACAAACACAGACCAAAAAAGGCCAAGATCTCGCCTCGTCAGCTTTGTCCCCAATGTCCACCGGCGCGTGGACCTGCGCGGCTCCCCAGCTTTCGCCAAGAACATCACTCCACTTGAAGGAACACATGGAAGAAGCGGCCTTCGCGTCAAAAGCCACATGTTCACGGAAAGATGCAGGGTTCTCGGGCAACAAAACGGTTCCTGAGGCAGGTGCGTTGGACTTGTCCTGGCTGGACGCACGAACAACACCAGCCAAACAAAAGGGAGACAGGTCTTTGGAACCATACTTGGAATCCCCACAAACACTGCTGACCCCGGATTGATGAAACTAGCGCGCCTCTCAAATTTGGCACACCACCACAAAATGATTTTAAGCGTTTCAACCCTTCACCAAATTCGACCTACAGCCAGCACTGGTAGCAACACAGGGGACATTGACTCCGCTATATAGATGGGAGGCTGCAAAGAGAAAGGAGCGAAGCAACGCTCAAAATCCCTTTAAGGGTGTCTTGCACCAACATGCACCTATACCAAGTTGCACTCAGCTCAGCCTGCGCAACGGCGTACGAAAGGATTGACATGAGGGAGCCCTTATTTGCTCTTGAAAACGGACCCAATTATTTTAATTAAAAAAAGCTACGCCTTACAGGCTCCCATAGGCGTCGCGATCAACCATACGAGGTATCAAACCTGGCTCAGCAAATGAGATTGCAGCAGCCCGCGTCCTTCTGCGCCACTCTCGTCTCCTCCGCCTTGGCCTTGACCTCCGCCTTCGCAGCGGCGTCCTCCAGGTTGCCCGCAGAACAAAAGTTTCAATCGTCATGGGGCGGGTTCAGATCCGGTTTGGGCTGGGTCTAGTCAAAGGTTAGGGTTTAAGCCAGTGATGATGCTGCAAAAACCAGCATGCCGTTCCAACATCAGCGTAATGCTTTGCACGTCTGTGTTAGACATAGTCGCGTGTGCTTGTAGGTTCATAACAATGCAGCTGCAGATGTTATGCTGACGCAGAAACTTATGCTGATGCAGAAACACAGAGTCGCAGTGGCGACGCAGGCTGCTGCAACCTGTCACGAAAGGCGCAGAGCCCACCCCGTCACAGACCTGCCGCAGAGGGTCCTTTGGCTCTGGTTTAGCAGGGGGCTACAGAAAGTTTGGATGAGCCTGGGGCTTGCTCAGGTTTGTCTAGGTTTGGTTCAGGCAGGGATTAGGGCAGAGCGGCGCAACCACAAAAAAACAAAAGCAAAACAAAAATGGAAAAACACGCAAATGAAACTGATACAAACTGCCCTCCCATGATTGTCTTGCATGTAAACCGTTGGTCTAGGGCGGCTTGAGGCGTGGCGTGCGAGGCGACGGACTGACCCACCGAACCCGACCACACAGGGCCCGCTCGTACTCACCTCGGGCTCAGGTCATTTTGCAACATCCTCATAGGAACAATTTATAAAATGCAAGCTTGCATGTTGTTGTCTTCAGAGACGCAGACCTTCAATCGTGTAATTATTTGGTGCCATTCCAATAAGCTATTCGAGCTGGAGCATCTAGCCTTCAAGCCTTCATTCTTCTGGCTGCTGAGCTTACGAAGCATCACCTTGCGCAAACAACCTCCATCTCTAAGTAGATGTTTCGCTCGTCTATGTTTCGGATGTTTTAGCATCCTTACAAGACCAGGCTCTGTTTAAACAAGATGTGTCCTATTCTTGTGTACCATGCAGGCATTCAGCCCCTAAAATAAGCACACCAACACATGATACACATGCTAAACAGGAGTGTCTCATGATAATAATCACAAGTTAATACAGCTCATGAGCCAATAACCACCACCTTCAGCTCAATATTGCTACTTTGGAAAGCTGAGGTCGCCTACACTATCAGACGTCCAAGCAGTTTGTCAACAAAAGGGTCCCTTTTGGGCCCCGGTACCACAGGCACAACCGTGCAGACCCTTGATGCCCAGCTACGTCCAAGAATTGAATCGCAAATGGTTTGCTGCTTTTCGCAAGTGGGTAGAACAAGGTGTTTTAGAGAAACCTAGCCGTTTTGCAGGACAAACCCATTTACAGCTCAGTGAGGACGCGGAAGGCAGGAAAGCAGCGGCTTTAGTGACTTATTTCCCCTCCCACCTCAAGTCGGCCGAGCAACACGGGAGCGCCTCGGCGATCAATACTTAGGAATGCCATGCGCCCAAAGTCTTAAAATACAATGGACGTCTTAGAGTCTTGCACCGACACCGTCAAAAAACCGGAGTACATCATATCGGCGAAACGCAGCCGCTAGTTTCCTTCCTCGGCCCTCGCTCTTTTGATCAACACGGCGAGATGCCCAGAACCCTTTTGCCCTATTGCGGTTTTCTGCAAAGAAACCAGTTACAGAATGTCAAGAACGCGAGATGACGTCCCGTGGGACGCTGTCCACCAAGCTTCCAGCTGAATGGTACTCAATCACGTGGTGAAGATATACGGCTAAACCGGTACAGCCAAACCAGTGGAAAATGTAAGGGTGTTCCTCAATAACCACACAAGCTCGAGATCTGCAGCGTGATCGCACCTGTTTCCTCTCGGATCGAACACAGGTATATGCAAGTCCACGCAAGACCATAAGCCCTACTCAAGTCTTGAGCCAAATGTGGCATCCATCGGAACACTTCAACCAAAGAGAACACTTCCCAATTTAGGCACGGGGCCGGGAGGGTTTAAACATCCCCCATTTGGCATCATGCGGTCCAAACATCACAACAAGTCCCAATGGCCACGGCTCGGACTACGAAACTGTGTCGAAACATTCTTTCATGCCTAATTGTCACGCCAACTATTCGTTGTGAAACTCAGCCGGGTGCGATTAAATCAAACACAACGCAGTTGTTGAAGATCCCAGCTGCCGTATTTTTGCGCATCACGCAGCTGTCATCCACCGAAATGGGTTGGCCAAAGAACCTCACAATCGCGTAGGACTGAGAGCCATCTGCATATCACCGGCTAAAAGAATTGGCAAACAATTTATGCAAATGGCAGCCATCCCGGACACCACGAATAATATAAGGAAATGAAAAGCATCCATGAGGTAATAGCATCCATCCATGAATATCCGGGAAGCCATAGTCGTCGAAATATGTATATACATAGGTATGTGCCTCGGACATGCGAAGTTGGTTTCACATCGAAATCCATCCCATCGTAATGAAATCAACATGTTGCTGGCAATGGATGGGGTCCAGCCCGCACCATGCCGTAAATGCAACGACGATCCACATCTGCATCACGTAGATCGGTCCACAATGGCCAGTCTAGTGATACGACGACGGAACTCTTCGTCCAAGTTGTGTTGGGCGTCCCGGGCTCGGACATACTTCTGGTAGTGCTCGGCCGCAAGCCAATGTCCTTTCCGGACGCACCAGTGAAGCAGCGGTCCGTCACACTTCCCCGGTTCCGTGGCAGCAATGATAGCGCTCACGTCGACCTCATACCCATGTTTCAGTCCGGTCCTTGCGAATGACATATACTTGCTGTTGAATGTCAGGGAGAAGCATCTGTAGACAATGTCCCCCACTGGATGTTTGCGTTCGCTGACCAGTGACTTCATTTCTTCCTTGGTGGCATCGAGGATAGTCGCCGCACACCACAGTCTGTAGTAGATGTACAGCCCCTTGCATTTGGTCGCCGAAAAGCGACTATATTGGTTGCGGTCCTCGATTGATTTGAAAGTTCTTGATCGAACACTCTGAGATTGAGAAATCTCCTCCTCAGTAGATGGTAAGACGATACCAGCCCGATCAAGCCCAGTGATGTTGGGGTAGCGCGACAAGTCATTATGGAAGGGACATGCAGGAGGCCCCCTAAGCGCGGCGTCAATTGCTCGTTTGTCGCCAGCCTCGAACATCCTCCACATCCTTGAGATCTGCAGCGCAATAAAACCCGCCATGTATTGAGCCTCTCTTGGCTCGTCCAAGCAGATTGCTAACTGCTGGGAGTTGATGATGTCGCGCGCAGTCATGTCATTGTCACGGTGCTCTTCTTCGGTCTCTTCCTCCTCAGATGCATTACCGGACGTGTACCCCTGCGTGCCCATCTCATCATCGTCGGGTTCATCTTCCATTCCAGCATCCCTCTCTTGCGCTGCCGTATTGTCATTCGCTTCCTCCTGTGCTCGCCTTGCATCCCCAGACACGTTGGGTTCGTGGTCGTCATCATCGTCGTCTGAGTTGACGTTGACGTAGAACCTCCCGGTGGAAATCAGTTGGGCGTCACATTCCAGGCAAATGCAGAAACATGTAGGAATTGTAGCCGCACAGGATGGGCAGATCCGGCACCTCAAGCCTTCCCAATTCTCGTCGTGTAGGATGATGGTTTTGCTGATCTCATCTCTGATTTCATTGGTCAGGATCTCCAATTCCTGATGCTGGCCGTCCCGAAACAATGCGCAGGCACGATCCACCATGTCCTTGATGTAGTGGAGGTTGCCGGCGCCAGCCTCAGTCTCCGACGACCCCTCGATGACCCCAGTGACGTTTTGGAGAAACATCAGGGCCGATTCTGGAGACGAACCAACGAAACCAGGGCAGATTTCATTCTCAACGCATTTCGAGTACGCCCGCTCGACGTCCTCGATGTCCAAGCATCTCCCTTCGTTGCATTTCCCGATCCATGTGGACTTGATCTCGTAAAACGGAACGACATCGAATACCATAAACGTCCCATTGAAATGCGACTCCAGCTCCGTATCGTGCAAGAGTTGCACTGGGAACGAAAATTATCGCAATCGGATCCCCGACTCGCAGTGTTGCGTAGCGAAGTCTTCGTCGCTAGGTTCATCTTGTCCCATGGAGCGAATGCCCCGAAATGCAGCGCCAATCGGTTTCCGCCACCAATACCACCGGGGACTAGCCCGCGGCGAACGATGTTTGGCAGGTTCTCCACGTGCGTCACGAGGACGTCACCCAGCCTCGCGGAATACCTGTTTGCAAGCGCGGAGGAACTCATGAATCCGAAGTCGCTGTGGCCAGTCGTGGCCCGAATACACCAGCTGAATATCTCATTGACTTCATCCTGAGTGTGACCCATGTTGAGCAATTCCTGCTTGGCAGCCCTCGTGTCATTCGGATTCATGATGCTCGGAAATCTCGCTGCCAGAAGCTGGAATCTCGACTTCTTATATCCAGAATCCTGCCACCTCATTACTTCGACGATGGCCATGTAGCGTTTGCGTTTCGAAGTGTTCGGTGGGAATATGTTCACCTCGTAATCCGCGATGATCGCGTCTATATCGACCCATCCACCTTCGTCACACTTGAACGCGCTTCCTCGGCAATTGCCGATCTTGTGGCGAAGGTTCCTGCAAAGGTCGTGAGACAGCTGGTTAGCTTGATCTCGCGTGTCAAACACAGAACTCACATCGCCGATTCTGCCAAATGGAGCGTCATCAAAAGGATAAATGCAGAAATTGGTGCTTTTGCCAAGTTGTTGCGTATCGATCTGCTCCAAAATAGCACACTTGGGAAAAACCTGGGATCAGTCATTGACATATATGCCCATGGTTGGTCGACGTTGCTTACGTCCCCAGCTTTTGGAATATCGCAAGGTCCTGTGATCCCCACACGGATTGAAAGTAAGGTCCACACCGCCACATTGTAGCTCACCCCCTTCAGCCGTGTCCGCCATCTCCACCAGGTTGATGGTGTAGCTATACATTTCTATCGTTTCTTTCCCCGTTTGTCTCCTCGTCTTGTGTTCTTTGGGTATCGATGACGAGGGCTCCTCTGCATCCCCCATCTCATCATCGGAGGACACATGTTCGCTGCTGAGAAGTTCACGAATTCTCTTCATCGCCTTGTCATTCCCAGCAGCCTCTTCGACCTTCTTGCAGTCGCCGTCGTGGGCCGCATTCGCGCACATCGCACAATCCATTGAATCCAGGAACTTGAGCGCTGCTCTCCGACCATCAATCACGCGCTGCTTCTTCTCCTCCTTCTTCTCTTTGGGTTGAGAGCTTTGGCTCTGATCGGGCACTGGGCCGCGATCTTCGCCCCCGCCCTCTGACGCCTTTCTCTTGGACCCTTGGTTGGCTTGCTCAATCACCAGGGAATAGGGGTGCTTGGGCTTGATCATGTTGATGATGTCCAGCACCTCTTTGGTAGGTGTCCCGAGCTGAGCAGAAGGTTTGTTCCGTCGTCGATTCTGACCAGTCGTCTTGCTCACGTTCCCCGCGAGATGTCGCACGATGGACTGCTCGAACTCCCTCTTGATTTTCCACACGCCCCTCCACATCGGAAGTTCATGTTGAAAATACGACATCACCTCGAAGAATCCCAACACCATCTCAACGACGTTTTCCAGGGTTTCCTCGTTCGTAGTTTGCCCCAGAAGGTCATACATCGTCCCCTGATCGAGCACGCTCTTGATCCATGATGAATAGGCGACGTTGCCGAGATCCCTGTCAATCAAGAAGATGGTGGTCTTCTCCTCATTCCCATCGGAATCCCTACACATGACCGCATCTCTGGTCGCGCATGGTTGTTTTCCATGCCCATGCTTGTAAAACTGCGCCGCTTGATCCAGTGTCATGCTCACAAAGCCTACGTGGGATAGCTCCTTCCTCAATCTGGTGTACGCAAGCTCCCGTATAATCGTAGTCATGGCCTGAACATTGTTGACATCCACCATGAGATGTTGAAGGTCCGGGATTGCGACCTTGCACTCGGCGAATAGTCGCGCATAGAGTTTCCCCCCATTCCTTGACCTTGCGACTCCGTTCACATCAGCGTTCCAGTTCGCACAGCAATTCACGCACGAGGGTATATTGAAAGTCGTATTGGATTCCAGTACTCTCGATTTACTCCTTTGCAACTCATTTCTGCATAGTTCGCAGAAGAATGTCCCAAGTTCGGAGACTGTGTACAACCGCACACGTAGATCGCCGGCATCAACATTCCCAAACGCTTCTTGTCCATCATAACCCTCGTTCTGGCGCTCCTGTTTTCTCCTTGATTGGGCAGCGAACGTCGGTTTGTACTCGAACCTTACCTTCGACTCCTCCATGTTCTTGGGGATATTGAATAGAAGCTCTGGCTCGTTGATGCAAATCTCCTCCAGATCGTTGATGAAGTCCGGGCTCGGCGCTAATACGTCAATGGATTTCTCCACCAAGAGACGCTTCAGGAGGTAATATTGCAAATTTGAACTCCCGGGGATTCGATAATTCTTGCCCGATAGTGCGTGAGCAATACGCCACAGACGGTCATTCTGCACCAACGCGCCTGCCGCCTTGCAGATTTCGCTCACTTTGTTGGCAATCGTACCTAAGCCCCCTTTTCCTCCATGGAAAGCTGCATCACGGTTCACGCGCACAATGACCATGCCCTTGCACACGTTGACGCGGAGACGATAGGGGGTCAATGATGGATCTGGCGGCCACATGCCACTCATTCCCTCTCATGTACATCCAGTCGTAGAGCGACATCCAGATGTGCACTGACATGTATGAGTCATCTGCGTCCCGCCTCCGTCGATCGCAGATAATCCTTTCCAGCTGTTGTAATCGAGAGATGATATTCGTCGTGTTCGAACTCGGTGAGACTTGCTCGCTCGATCCGTAACACGACCTCTCTTCGATGTTCGTCCATCCCTGCTCGTTGACCATCATCTGAAAAGTTTTCATGTATCCTTTCGCATTGACGGCTCGCATGGGCCAATCCAGAACCAGAAAGCTCTTCTTTTGGATCATCATATCGCGGATCATCGTTCCGTTGATGGACTTGTTCTCCTGTTGATGATCCTGATCAACCGTGCAGGTGCATTGTCAGGATTCTTCTCCGCCTGCATCACCGCGTTGATGGCTTTGGCACCCGGGAGGCGCCCTGTGATCAGGCATCCCGTTTGAGCACAAAGAAACGCATAAAGCTGGAGCCACGCAGTGTTGCTCTTTCTGACATATGAACTGATGATCTTTTCCGCCCTTGTCTTCTCTTCGAAGCGCAGTAATGATGATGTCAGATTTCTCAACACGCATTCCCAGAACGTCGCGTCCTTTCCCTCAATGAGACATGGCCCGAAAACAGTTTGTGCCATCGGATACCCGGTGTTGGCATTGATGGTGAACTTCACGCTCACGGTCGCGCCAGGCATGGTGACACCCCCCTCGAATGAGGTGTACGTCTCGTACCCAGCCGTGATGTCGCCGATCTCCCACCTGTCGTCGTCCCCACCAGAATTCATTCTGAAGATGGAGTCGATGATCTCGTTGTCAATCTTGGTGGGATCGTCAGCCGAGGCTCGTCCACTCGTTGCTCCCTGCTGTGGGTGTGACCCGCCAGCAGTTTGCTGTCCATATTGAGGACGAGACGACGAGCTCTGCTGCCGCCGCTCTAAGTTCTGCGGTGGCTCAGCCTTTGTTGAGCCCATCACCCACCACGTTGGTTCCTCGCCATCGGTGAAGTCTTCAGGGTACTTTTCCAGCGCCCTGTCCTTTTGGACGTAGGTGAATACTCGTTTCGATCGAAGTCCGTCACGTCGGTCTCGATGATCTTCAACCATTCAGCCCACTTGCGTCGATCCTGGTTCTCCGTCGCTCGGTCGGCCGCATGCGGTGCAAGGCTGATGGAATTGATATTCATCGCAGGCAGTGTTGATGCGTAGATCATGTGGATACACCACAAGAATTGCGTCCTCGACCTCCTTGTGCAGATCATCCAATTCAGTCTTATCTTGTCGACAGCACGCTCTTCCGCGATGCCCTGGGGGTCGCGGGCGAAGATGATGATCTCCTCGGTGGAGAATCTCTCTGGTTCGACTCTTGACGAATAGCGACTTGCTTCCATGATTTTGCAGACGTGGACATGTTGTTGCACAGCACTGAACCACCTCTTCCGGATTCACCCTGTGAATCGGCAACCATATCCATGACTGCAGGAAGAGCCATCAATCCGTTGGATCCCTCTGAACTGTCATTCCCAAAAGGTGCAGTACTTGGGCTCGCTGAAGATTCCATTGTACTGTGTAGGTTAGTGTTCTTCTGCAGTTCTTGTACCCGCAAGAAACCAGCTGCCTCCTTGCCCAGTGTAGAGCTTGGTTACGGCTGATAACCTGTCAAGAACGCGAGATGACGTCCCGTGGGACGCTGTCCACCAAGCTTCCAGATGAATGGTACTCAATCACGTGGTGAAGATATACGGCTAAACCGGTACAGCCAAACCAGTGGAAAATGCAAGGGTGTTCCTCAATAACCACACAAGCTCGAGATCTGCAGCGTGATCGCACCTGTTTCCTCTCACTCGGATCGACCACAGGTATATGCAAGTCCATGCAAGACCATAAGCCCTACTCAAGTCTTGAGCCAAATGTGGCATCCATCGAAACACTTCAACCAAAGAGAACATGGACCTCAGAACGGCTTCCCAACTTAGGCACGGGGCCAGGAGGCTTTTAAACACAGAAAGTTCTGCAAGAAATCAACATGGTTTTGGCCGGTATCTGGCCAATTTCCTGTAGCTGGTCTTTCCACGAGTTCCCCCAATACAAGCCACAAGCCTGAGGCGTCAACATCATACACAGCCGAGGTCTTTGCTCAAGGTTCTCCAATCCAAGCACTTCCAACTTTGGAAACATCTACTTTTAGTGGCTTCATTTGGAAGACCTCGAGTGAAGCTAAAAATGCACACTTTTGTTGGCTGTCAAGACGGTGGGCCCCTTGTTGAAGGAAGGAATCCAACGGGAACTTGACGAACCGCCGTTCCCTGCAAGACAGAGACTTTAGGTTGCCTCCGAAAAATCGAAACACTTGACCGGGCTGCGTGGCCAAAGGTTGCCACAGTCAGCAAAGCCAGAGTTGGACTGATCCAAATCCTACGCACGAATTCCTGACTAATTTAGATCCCCAATGCCATTGGACAGTGAGCACGAAACGCGCTGGTTGTTGAGGCCGCAGCTGCTGCGAGGCTGTTCCTAGCAGATGCGGGGAGGTTACGATCCAGGCAGGACAAGCACAAGGCCAAAAGAAAAACAAGGAGACAAAAGACTAGACAAAGATAGAGCGAGACAAAAAGAGGCCAAAACAAAAAAGAAAGAGAGAGAGAGAGAGAAGGAAAAAAGAAAGAAGGGCAGAGAGAGAGAGAGAGATAGGGAAACATGAAAAGAACGAAAGAAAGACATGAAGAAACATGAAATGCGAAACTGCCATTCAGTAGTATTACAGTTGCTTTCTGAACTGGTGGTAAAACACTGCTAATTCAAACTTACGTTCTGAACGCGCATAGAAGACCACGTGGGAAGGAAAGCCAGAAAGCAGAAAGGAAGGAAGGAAAGCAAAAGGCAAGCAACAAAACAGAGAGAGAGAGAGAGAGAGAGAAGAAAAACAAATAAACGGTAGAGAGAGCCCACCGAAAACTTGAAACAAAACCGGCGCCTGCTCAGAGCACCCAATTCGACCCATGAGGCCTCTTGTCAAGGTGACATGGATCAAACGGTTCTGAAGGAGCAGTGACTGGTGCGTCGCAACTGTTTGACGTCATACCCAAAACCTGTTTGCGATTCCCCTCCCTTCTCTCTTTCGGCCCCCTGCACACCAGGCCTTCACCTTCCAGACCAAACGTCGCTTGGCCTCGGTCTGTGGTCTCCCGTTTTCAAATACCCTCTGATGCCACCGTCGCTTGCCTTTTCCACTATCCTAGCAACTAACATTAAACACGCCAAAGGGCCCCTTGAAACGCCCTGTTGCGCTTGCTTTCATTGTTTGGCGCCAGTGCGCTGGAACCCTCATAGTACTGCTGAAGCGCGATACATTCAGTTATCAGAAACATACTACATACTCCCGCAAACATGTCAAACCAACACGGGTTGCGCTTATCTTTTTGGACGGTTCTGCTCGGGCCCCCCGAAAACTCACGAACTTGCAGGACAGTTGCCGCCAACCCCGCTGCCCCACGCAGGCTGCTGCACAAAGAATGCGCACTCGAGTGCACACATTTACTGGGGGGCGAGGACCCCAGCCACACGATTGGTCCAGGAGGCAAGTTGGTTTAATGTTACTTCATAATTTCATAGTTGTTTAGGCCCTTGAGAACCGAAAGAAAGGAAACAAAACACCATTTCTTAAAGGATGCCAGCGCATCTAGAAACCACCTACTTTGCAAGATCTCCAAAATTTGGTGAATGCGATCGTTCGATTGGCCTAAATGTCTCTTAGGACCCGGCATCCAAAAAGCGCAAGACGGCTCTGAGGAGAAAGCTGGGATCTGGGCTGGCTGCTCAACAGCCCTCAGAAACCCATTTCGGCGAAGGAAAATCGGCTTCCCAGTTTGCTTCATCAGTTTTATGGGGGAGCCCTTACAGCAGGGACAGAGAAAACATGCTGCGCCAAGTACCATGAAAGCCAATTCCAAGCGCGCGCGAGGACACTTTCGTTCGGCGTTGGCTTCTTCAATGGGCAAATGGCTTTGGTCATTCAGCATACTCACTTCAAGTTCAAGCTGATGAGATGCCTCATCGACTAATTGACGCCGGTTCCAGCGCAGAGTGGCTAGCTGTTGCCACGCGTGAGAATGTAGAGCAAACAGGGCAGAACAGGACAAAGCGAGACCTGGTAGAAAACGACTGAGAAGCATGGGATTAGCCGGGGCTTGACACAAAACCGGCGCCTGTCTAGAGCAACCAATTCGCCCATGAGGCCTCACGGTGACAATGGATCAAACGGTTCTGAAGGAGCAGTCAAATTGCTTCACAACCATGCGCATTGACTGGTGCGTCGCAACTATTTGACGTCATACCCAAACCTGCTTGCGATTCCCCTCCCTTCTGTTGTCTCTTTCAATCCCCTGCGCGCCAGGCCTTCACCTTCCAGACCCACTTGGCCGCTGTGGTCTGCTGTCTCACCTGTGATGCCACCATCATCGTTTGCCTTTTGGGCCCCTTGAAGGGGTAGACAGTCAGGTTCCACGCTAGCTGGTGGGAAAATGGCATATACAACTCAACAGCTCCTTGACGAACTCTTTTCGTGGGGTTTTGCCATTTGCAAGTCTTTTCGTGAGGTTTGCGGTTTGCCCGTCAGCCTTTCAATGGGGCTTGGCTTTGGCGAACGTTTTGGTGGGGGGCTTGCCACTCTTGCAATCCTTCCGCTGGCAAATTGAGAGGAAAGGACTGATCATGCTCAAACAAGAGTGTACAATATTAAAAAAGTGATCCGACGCTCTAACCCTACCCTGAGACAAAAAACATCATGCTACGTAGAATCTCCTTTTTGGGGGCCTCATGTCCCACCCAGCCCAAGCACTTCCTGCAAAAAAGCAGCCATCTTCACCGGGGCGCAGAGGAAACGAGGCGAGCGATCCCACTTTGAGCCAAAAGGGCAGCGCACGAGGAATCGCCACAGCGCCAGTGTGGCAAGTCTTTCATATGTTCAGGGTTCCCTATATGCCCCGCCCAAACATCACCCCATCAACAACCTCATTTCAACATGGAACAAAAAGCAATGTTTGAACCACTCGAAAGGGAAGCACGAGGACCCCTGATGCTTGCAATGGAGACTCCGTGGGTTATGGTCATGGCCCCTAAGAACCAGAAACCTTACTTGCAACAACGGCACCGAAAAGTTCTTTCAGATTAACTTTTAGCAAAAGATCAATACGCATTTGGAGGATTGCCCCGCTGGTACGACAATAATCCACAATCCGAAGTAGACGTGATTGTCTTGAACCGAAGAGAACCCCATCTGGGGAGATTGAGATCCCGCATTAGCCCTTTCCCAACGGGAGGCTGAAGAGGTTCATTCAAAACTTGTAAAATGCACGAAATACGTGGCCCAAAAGCCAGGTATTCTTCCCCTATGATTGTAAAATAGTCGAGCAACTACTGATTAAAGAAGAAAGAGACAAGCATTCGCTGAAACTTCCGCCCACCGGCTTCGACGGCTCTACTGGTAATGATTGTACTATCATAAACAGAAAAATATAGGTCTCAAGGATTATAGAACAAGTTTGTACTTAACTTATGTGTTGTAGACAAATTGATGAATGTTGCACAGTTTGCTACTTCAAACGTACCATGATGCATCTCATCGCGTTGGCCATGCAGCGAATTCTCTCATTGGCTTTAGTGAAACTGAAAATCGAGTCGCGGAATTTCGCCCGGAAACTTCTGAGGGGGGGTTGGGCCCCAAACTACAGTCGTTCAACAAAGACTTCGAAGGGCGCAAACCCGCACAGCTTGGGAAACGATGGCCAACTGGGGCCGTTAATTTCCAATTGCGTTCTTTTCAAAACTCGCGGTGGAAGGCCGATTGGGAGTGGTACCAGGTACCTCAAAGTGGGGCTGCTTCATCAATCCTGCCTGTTCCTCGCGAGATTTACTTTGACGCAAATTATGTACATCGCAGGTTGGCCGCTCTCACGTAAGCCTCAGGACACATCTGACGTGAACCGAAAGCATGCCGCAACAAGCATTACCCCCAATTCTAGTGACATGGCTGGGTCAGATTGATAACCTGACTGAGCTGCCGGCAAGGATCGCGGACCCCAGCTCATCTTGAGCCAGCTGACTCTTCAGAACCTGCAATTGGATTCGGGCAAGAATCACATGCCTTGAAAGGGAATCCTATCGCTGGGGCATGGGAGCCGGGTGGGGCCCATCGTCTGCTTAAACAGATCTACACACCTGTTGCTTAAACATCGCCATGCTGATTTCCCTTGACAGCCAACGGAAGTGGACAGGAGGCCTTAGATGGTTGGCGCGGGTGAGGATATTGGCCGATCGAATTCTTTACATGGGTAGACCAGGCTGGGGAGGCCCTTCCAAGTCAATTTTCGCGATATCGCTTCTTAATGTTGGAACCCCTGACTTGGGCGGCCAGGTCCCGCATCAACATGAGTTCAAATCTAATTTTGCGAGTTGCGAGTAGATTGTGGGTCATATGAAACACCCAAAAGGACATTCTGGTGATATCCGGATATGCGTGCGGGTTTTGACGGCGTGGCTCGCTTGGGCCAGTCGCGCCTCGTCACCTTCGTCCAGGACGTCGACCTGAGCGCTTGCTAGGGCTCCCCATACTTGGCTTTCAAACGTCACCCCACTTGAAACACACAGATCAAATGGCCCTTCATCAAGAGCAAAACCTTAACGGAAAGATGTAGCGAGCCCTTGGGCAAAAAGAGGATTTCTGAGGCAGGCACATCAGACTTGTCCTCCTGGCTGGGTGACGCACGAATGGCCAAAGGGGGCTGCCCTAAAGTAGAGAACACCGAACAAAGACCTGCCAGGTCTTTGGAACCATGTTTGGTTGGGAAATTCCCACAAGCACTGGTGTTCCAAGCAAGGCGACAGATTATCACCTGTTTAGAGGGGGTTTTGCAGGTTTGGGGTTGGCTTAAAGTGGATTGGGGGTTTAGTGTGGGTTTCGGATTGGTTTGCGGTTGGCTTACGGTTGGTGCTCGGATTGGTATGGGGGGGCGGGGGGGTAGTTTTTGGCTTAGGGTTCGTTAGGTTGGGTTTAGGTGCTCTTGTCGCTAAGCGAGCTCAGTAGGTAAATACTCAATTCAGGATCCAACATCCACTGCACTTCAGTGCTGCCCACAACACTCAATGTACAGGGAAGCAGCCTTGCTCTTCATGGGCGGCAGCGCTTGCGGATTGTTCGGGCGTGGCCAGCCCTAGTATCTGCAAACGAGATCCAAGCAGTGGAGTTCGTGAAATTAGAATGCGGGAGCGTTGGTACCTTTCGGTGGGCAGGCAGAAATTCGGGCGAGGCTCCCAAAGCTGCGGACATACAGGGTTGCGCTTTTGGAGCTCCAAGATAAAACGGCTCGAACCAACATGAAGGTGTTTGATGGTTTTGCTCGGTCCAGGGCTTTGTCCCCTGACAAATCCATCGATGGAGTCCCAACAACCTCAAATATTGCCTCCATTGAGACTCGCAATAGTATCTACGTCCAAGAATCAACCTTCATTTATCTATAGAAACCACCAACAGAAGCGTTGCAGGTTATTCGCCTTGATAATTTCTAGGGGCGCAGGAATCAAGTTAACTTCTAGTTCTACCAAGTGTGTTGCAGCTTCTACGACACCCAAAAAAAAGGAAGAACCTCCGGCGTGCGCCCCCCGGCTCCTGGCATTCGCACGCGGGCTCCTGCCAACACGCTCAAAATGTGAAAAATATGGAAGCCTTTGTCGCAGAGACACGGCATGACTGGGTTCAGCAAAGTTGCTCAAAAGTATCCTCTCAGACGGTGGCTGAATGGAAATAAGCCCAATGTTTGTTTAAGACGCCCTCGATTTTTCCGATGCTTCTGGCCAAAAACTCCCGTCAGTCGCACTGTCCACCGTCGATTGGCTATCAACCCTAACTTTAGTCGCAGGCTCATATTGTTTCGCCATTCTAGGCCTGAACAAGTTGGTTTTCGGCGAAAGCGGCTTGAGGCCAAAGGCCCCCAAAAGTCATGAGGAGTAAATGTGGGCTGAATGTATGTCCGCTGAAGGGCACTTGCAAAGATATCGGTTGGACGAAATTAAACTACCCGAAAAAACATTGGAACCCCCAACTGCTCCTTGACCCACCAAAGATGTCTGGTTTGGGCTTCGCCTCGAACCTTCCAACGGAAGTGGACAATAGGCCTTGTTGAGATGGTAGTCTTCACCAAACCCCCCGATGGAAATTCGACTATCGAATTCTTTACATGGGTAGACCAGGCTGGGGGCCCCTTCCAAGTCAATTTTGGCGATTGATTCTTAATTTTGGAACCCTGGCTTTGGCGCGGACAGATCCCGCAACTGGACAAGAATCAGACGGTGTTAACATGAACATGAATTCAAGTCTAATTTTGCGAGTTTCGAGTAGATCGTGCGTCATATAAAACACCCAAAAGGACATTCGGGTGATATCCGGATACGCGTGCGAGTTTTGACGACGTGGCTCGTTTGGGCCAGTCTCGCCTCGTCACCTTCGTCCAGGACGTCGATCTGAGCGCTTGCTAGGGCTCCCCATACTTGGCTTTCAAACATCATCCCACTTGAAAAAAACAGAAGAAATGGCCCTTCATCAAAAGCAAGACCTTAACGGAAAGATGTAGCGGGCAAAAAGAGGATTTCTGAGGCAGGCGCATCAGACTTGTCCTCCTGGCTGGGTGACGCACGAATGGCTAAAGGGCGCTGCCCCAAAGTAAGGAACACTAACCGAACAAAGAGACAGGTCTTTCGAACCATGTTTGGCTTTGAAGTTCCCACAAGCACTGGTGTTCCACGCCACGTGACAGACTATCACCGTGCCAACCCTGTGTTGCCAGGATCACCACACTCAAAGGCTGCAAATAGAAGAAGGAACGAAGCAACGCTCAACATTCTTTGGGGCTGCTTGTACCAGCATGCGCCTATAACCAAGTTGCACTCAGCTCAGCCTGGGTACAGGCTCCCAGGTTTGTGCGCGCGAAGTGCCCAAAGTACACATCAGATTCACCCAAGCGGCTCCTCCTCGGTGCTGTTGTCACCACCATGCTCTTCCTGTGTGTCCTCCACGGTTGTTGGATCCTTGCGGGAGTTTTGGGGAAATGTGTTGCAATCAACCATCGAGGCATCACATGTTCAACCAGACTGCTGGGCTGGGCGACTGAGACCCTTGCTCAAACCGCCAATGTTGGCTTCTCCTGTTTTGAAACAGAAATGCCCAACTTGGCACAGAACAAAAGTTGTTGGTCCCACAATGGTCAGTGCGATGTATGGCTTCAGCTAGTGTAGGGACGGTTTAGTTCTGGTTTAGCAGGGGGTTACAGTTGCTTTGGGTGAGTCCAGAGTTGGCTTGGGCTTGCTCAGAGTTTGTTTAGATTTGGGGATGGTTTAGACGGGGGTTTGCACGTGGTTTGGGCTTGGCTTAAAGTGGATTGGGGATGTTCTGGTCCGGGTTTAGTGTGGGTTTAGGGTTGGTTTACGGTTGGTTTACGGTTGGTTGACGGTTGGTTTACGGTTGGTTTCGGGTTGGTAGGGGGGGGGTAGTTTTTGGCTTAGGGTTCGTTAGGTTGGGTTTAGGTGCTCTTGTCGCTAAGCGAGCTCAGTAGGTAAATACTCAATTCAGGATCCAACATCCACTGCACTTCAATGCTGCCCACAACACTCAATGTACAGGGAAGCAGCCTTGCTCTTCATGGGCGCGGATTGTTCGGGCGTGGCCAGCCCTAGTATCTGCAAGCGAGATCCAAGCATCACCTCCCAAGTGAAGTTCGTGAAATTAGAATGCGGAAGCGTTGGTACCTTTCGGTGGGCAGGCAGAAATTCGGGCGAGGCTCCCAAAGCTGCGGACATACAGGGCTGCGCTTTTGGAGCTCCAAGATAAAACGGCTCGAACCAACACGAATG